ACCAAACTGTTAATTACACATTTATTTAAAGACGTTAATTAATTTATTGGTATATTCATTGGTAGATTAGACACTTAAATTATAAAAGATAAGAACAATGACTTTACTTATAGTAACGTCACATGATTTATTTACTTTTTATAACAATTGATGGCGGCTTTCATCGAAGATTTTGTTGCCCATTTAAACGTTTAACACATTGTAAAGCTAATTTTCTGTCGGCTATAGCTTTAACGATACGTGCGTTTGCTATTTTTATTAGATTCCAACACTATTATCAATTTTCAACAGTTCTTCTAATTTGAGTATACAATAAATTTCTCTAGATCTAGAGATCAGCTGTCGGACGAAAGTCAATCCTAGATCTAAAATCTAGAATCTAGGTCAAACCAAAATTAATTTGTTAAAAAATTCATAAAAAACGTTTTAATAACAAGCTTTTATGTAATGATGCACTAAAAAGTAGAAAATAAATTATACACTACTATTTAAATTACTATAAAGAAAAGCGTGGGTCACTTTAGTATCTATTGGATACCTTTACTAATGTTAAGGAAGACACCCACGCTTTTCTTTATAGTAATTTAAATAGTAGTCTATAATTTATTTTCTACTTTTTAGTGCATCATTACATAAAAGCTTGTTATTAAAACGTTTTTTATGAATTTTTTTTCAGTACTTTACATGTTTTATTTACAATAGAGTTACATGACTAAAAACCATTGCGCGCCTACTGAACATCACGTTTAGTAGGCGCGCAATGGTTTTTGAACGCAGCCATTACGTGATGGCGCAGCTATTGAAGGTGATGACGCGTGTGGTGTGGTTGGCTAGACATGCCTACTAATTCGGTCCAAATTTTAATTAATTCATAAAAAATTAATTAGGCATCCAATTAAGTCAAATTTAGTTTCAGATTGCATTGTCTTCATGTCTTGACCCACGTGCCAACTGTGAATCGTATCGGTCAAATAGAACTGTCCGAATTTTCACTCCTGCGTTTCCGTCTAGACAGACTGACGACAGACTGACGACAGAGGAAGTGAGTTAAATAAAAGCTTGTAAAAATAAAAACCATTAGGCCTATAAAATCACAATAAATTATTGAGTTTCTTTATAAATGTTAGTCCTTAAATATTTGATATACATCTTCGCTTTTTAGCTTCAATGATCATCTAATTTGATAATATATGGGATTTATCTATCTAGCTCGGTTATAGTTATAAATCTAGCGTTACGGAGAAACTAGACTTAACGTAAATTCTACATCTAGACTTAACGTAAATTCTACATCTAGAATCTAGATCTATCTAGATCTTGAATCTATATACTAAACTATTTCAGGTCTTAATTATTTTATATAAATCTTTGTTAGTTTAGCTATGGAATTTGCTAATTTGGGATATGATTTAAATTGAAATAATAGGGCCTATCCGCGCAACTGAAGTTTCTTACTTTGCAGTAAATTATTATAGAACAAGTTATGATTAAATCGTAAGCGCTCACATAGCTAAGATTATAGTGTAATAGTTTCCAAGCGGGTGGTAAGGGTTCGAGACACATCACAAGAAAGTTTTTAAAAAAATCTGTTTCCTTTTTAGATGTGAATGATAAAGTTGCCTATTGGGACTTCGCGGGACACAGGGCAGGTGAAGTAGAGTTCACCTGTTTCTGTGTCCTCAGCATATGAATGGAATGTGGTCAGACCCATGCTCGGCCGAAATCAGTGTTTTAAAAGACAAAAACATGTTGTCTGAGACATGTCGGGACACTGGGCAGGTGAAGTAGAGTTGGATAGGTCAGAGTTCACCTGTGATGTCAGCATATGAAGGGATAGTGTGGTCAGACCCATTCTCTGTGGAAATCTGTGTATTAAAAGACTAAAACATGTCTGAGTTGACGGGACACTGGGCAGGTGAAGTAGAGTTGACCTGTTTTTGTGACCTCAGCATATGAAGGTATGGTGTGGTCAGACCCATGCTCAGCCCAAATAAGTTTTTTTTAAAAGACAAAAACGTCTCTGATGTGTGACGCCATTTTGAATGTGGGGTCGGGTAGTCTAGTGGTAGTAGGCCTACAACATAAAAAAAGATGACAGCTCCGACCCACTTCACATATCTTTTATGACTTTGTAGAATGTAATAATTGCAAAGACTAAAACCATTGCATTAATATACTATTACTATATTTGATCTAAAACCAAGTGTTGTGAGAAGCTTATTAAATAACAATGTAATCAAACAAATATCTAATGATATAACTTTCCACGCAAGACAGAGGTACATGGATACTACAGGGTAAGAACGATCAACCAACCGAGTACGGTAACCTGTTTTTTTTCATGGCTGGTCGATTATTTTTTATTAAAAAAAACGTCAACAACAAAACAACATACATTTTCGACTTACGTGTAAAGAATATTTTATACATTTACTAGCCGTCCCGGCCAGGCCCTGCTCTGGCTTCTGTGAAAAACCTTTCTGTTAAAGACCATTACCTGTGTGTTTAGTAATCATCATAAACACGGCACTGCCCACCCAAACCACAACGAACCAAAACCAAAACAACAAAACGCAAACATAACGCTAACACAATTACAAATACAAACGAAAACAAAAACCTAATAACAAACCCAACCACAACCACAAACACCAATACGAACACAAAGAAAAAAACAAACGAAAAAGCAAACGAAAACAAACCAAATCCAAACGCAAAACCAACCACAAACACAAATACAAACACAAACCCAAAGAAAAAAACACAAACGAAAAAAGAAAGAACAAAAACGAACCAAATCAAAACGCAACCACTAACGCAAACCCAACCTAAACACAAAGAAAACACTAACGCGAACATAAACGCAAAGTGCTCACAGTCTAGCCCTGGGCAGAATCGCCTGTTTCAGCTTAATAAACGACTATAGTACCCCAACTTATTCATAGTCTTTTCCAATCACTTAAACGAACGTAGGTGCCAAACCAAACCAAATGAACAATTAAAATACTCCAAGCTTATCCATAAAATACCTACATTTGCACTTGATCAATCCCCGCTAATTATGTAATTATTTTTTTCCCAACACCAAAACAAAGTAATAAAAAGTAAATTCTTTTCCACTAATGCAATGTTTCATAAAGGGAAGTAATTGTGTTTTCCTAATTTATCAAAGGGAAGTAAATGCTAAAGGACTAAATATAAATAATTTTCAGACATAATTAGAATTTTTGTAAAAGATGATATTTTTTTGAAATTGTGTTTAATGAACATGCCGACAATTATTACTATCAGTTTGAAAAATGAAAATTATTTCCCAACACTTTCAGTATTAATTTTTTTAACTCATAAATTTAGACCGTGAGCACTATAATAATCTAAGACTTAAATCCATTGAAGTATCCACAACTAACTTATTACATAGAGAGTTGAGCTTTATATATTTGATATCGATATCATAAAAAATACACTGTATTGACAACAACGATCCCATATGGGAAATCGTGCCTAACGCACCCACCCCTCTTCAAATCTCTACACAGCTAGACAACGGTCCCTACGACAATTATTCTTTTCTCACCTCCGTAGTATGGAGAAAAAGTGGTCCAGTGGCAGAGAACTGGACTGCTAATCCGTAAGTCCCAAGTTCAATCTGGATCAAATAAGATTAACGACCCCGAGTCCATCTAACTACATAAACCAGAGCTGCTTTTTTTTTCCCCCACACATATGATTCATTTTTTTATTTACTAAAAGAAAAGTTAAAGAAGTCACTGTAAATAAATTGTATCTTCTTTTTTTTTTACTTCTTGTATATGTTACGGTCAAAGCCCGAAGTGCGGCCAAAGCGCGGATTGGCCGGCCAATCCGCGCATTGGCCGGCTCTCTTGGCCAAAGCCCGAAGAAATTAGCACTAAGATCGAATTTCGTACATTGGCCGGCCAATGCGCGCACTGGCCGGGACGTACTGGCCAAAGTCCGAAGCGCTTAAACTTGACAGCGTATTTTGTACATTGGCCGGCCAATGCGCGCACTGGCCGGGATGTCCTGGCCAATGTTCTATCTAGACTAAGTTGTGATCGCATTTTCATTATTCTGGGTGCGTTTTCATCGAGAGTAACGTATTGTTTAGCTCTTGTTTGTATAGCATTCTATATGCAAGGCGACATGGATCAAATGGGCCGTCAGACCATGAGACAGACATAGCAGATGGCTGTCAAAAGAAAAAAATTTAAAACCATGTTAGTTTCCATATATGGGCTCTAGCTTAAATAGTTACTGAGGAAGATCTTGAGAACATTGAACAAGAAATGGAGGTTGCCATAAATGCAACGACATCCTCAGCTAACACATCTGCTGCCGTGGCGGAACGCCCTGACCAGTTGCGTGACAATAATGTGGCCAACAGATTCTGTATAGTTTGTGAAAAACATTGTAGCGCAGCTCATTCTTTTGGATCCTGTGGCAACGATGTCCATGCTGTTTGTGGAATACCCAATGAAGCAGACGAAGGGTACGGAGGGAACATTACCTGTAGATTGTGTCACAACAAACAAGACATCATGGAACACAGATCAGCAGCTCATACTGGCTTGCAAACTCAAGGTGCTAAGATGCTTAAAACATCAAATACAAAATTTAAAGATGGTGAAGTGGGTGACAATGTACGCATCTGTTTTCCAGATGTTGACATAGGTCACGGTGATCCCCGAAGCGTGATTGCAGTTGTCATGAGCGTCGACATCGCTTTCTACAAGCTAGGAACGGAACGTGGTGTTCTAAAACAAATATATTATAGAAGTGAGTTTTCAATTCTTCACGAAAAAACTGCTCTTAATGTCGTCAGTTGGCACTGAGGAAAAATCTCTACGAACCATTGCATCTTCACAATCATTGACTGGGGGCCAAGGCTACACTCGCTGCAATTGCACAACTAAGTGCACAACAAATCGCTGCTAGTGTAAAAATAATTCTAAATGCCATAAAAGTTCAACTTGTTGTAACAAATGATGATATTGATAGATTGAGACTATAGTACAATAAAAAATGTGAATATTTCTGTCATTTACTTTAATTAATAATCAATAAAGACTTAATTTCATGATCCTTATGGCATTTAAAAAACACCGAAATCCGCTCATGATCTTCTAATCCGGACTTTGGCCGGTCGTCCCTAGCCAGATGATCTTCTAGTTAAGACTTTGGCCGGTCCACCATGGCCAGTCCGCGGACTGGCCGGCCAAAGGCCGAAATGAAGAGCTATTTCAGACTTTGGCCGGTCCACAATGGCCAGTCTGCGGATTGGCCGGCCAAAGGCCGAAATCAAGCAAAGTTTCGGACTTTGACCGACCTATGGGAGGCGATATTGGCCAATGCGCGGATTGGCCGGCCAATCCTAGCATTGGCCGACTTCGGGCTTTGACCGTAACATATATAACTAAAAAAAAAACGCAAATCAGCGTACTGTAAAAATGTTGTATTTCCACCTTCTTCCTGAATATAAATTCATTCAAATTTATGTAAACAATGTCACTATAAATATGTTGTATTTTGTTTTATGGAAAATAAAATTATTTAAAAAAAAATTGACAACAACGACAGAATAGGGTTTATAGATAGAGCGGCAACACATGATTTAAAAGAATATCAACTTCAGTGCCGAAACGGCCAGCAAATATCCTAACTAAGGCATTGTTATGAAACACAACGTGTTAATTAATTAGTTATAATATGTATCAAGCGTGTTGAAAAAAAGCACATAATACTGTGTTGATTTGCTAACTTGTCAAGAAAAATGTTTGCCAACCTGAGCATGTTGTGAAGTTGGTCATAATCCATACCAGTTCCATTATCCAGGAACACAAGACACGGTTTGTCATTAATGTCGACCTTATCTATCAGAAGTGCGGAAGCTTTAACATCAGGATCGTATGCATTGTCTGATGAAAGAATTACATTCGTCAATTTAAGTATCATATGTTTTACTTCTACTAAAGCTGCCGCAATCTAACGTCAACATTTTTTCTCTCCTAGAAGATCTCCTTCGATATATATTTCGGAGACGAAATAGACATTTCAGAAACCGACATATGTTACCAATCGGTACATGTTTGGCTTATTGCCTAAAAATGGATCGCAAACGCTTGCAGACTAAAATAAAGACTAAAATTGTTTCTACTTCTGCGGGAGCGATTTGCCATAGTGAACAATGTAAAGATGCGATGTTTTATTTCAATGCATTTTTAAAATGATATACACATTGTGGTGATGTATTATGTATGAAGGGTGTATACGTAGAAAGGATCACTGCGTGTTTGTATATATCCTGTAGAGATACGCAAGGACGTGTATGTCGTTGTGCGGAGTGAACGAGGGTAACAAGGGAAGCGACTGGTCGAGTGACAGCAAGTGTGTTGTGAGCGGGAGAAAGGGAATGCATAGAGAGGACAGTTGATGGTTGGAGCAAGAAGGTGAAGATTGGTCTGAAGAGAGAAGCGAAATAGCTGGGGTTAAACTTGACTGTCATACCTAACCTCTACGAGTTTGTTGGTGTGTACGTATACCTGAGTGTACCAGATTACTAACGCCCTTATACACATATTTTAGTTTAATAAAATTGAAGGAAATTATGTTTTTACATTTATACAAGGTTTAAAGTGAATTATAAAAAATAAGATGCCGCTTCACCACGACTTTAAACACCCCATTAACACATAAATGTAAAATATCGTTTCAAAGTAAAACAATGGAAACATAGCTTACCAATCAACTCAGCTATAGCACTGAAAGCCCAGGTGTGACTTGTTGAGTTACTGTGTAGAAACTTTGGATGGACCTGGATTTAGGGGTTGACACCAAGCGAAAGATAGCAATATATATATATATATATATATATATATATATATATATATATATATATATATATATATATATATATATATATATATATAAAATTGATAATTTCACGTAATTAAAGGATTAATTAGAGTGAATTAAATAGTCTTTTATAAGCAAAGTTGACAAATCCCGACACGGGTCGAGGGGGGGGGGGGTGACAGAAGGACGTAAACCTGCTAATGATTGAGAAAACATGCTACATCCAGCTGTATTTATAACCGAAATATAGATAAAAATCGTTAGTATTATCTGAGCTCAGTTTAAAGCAATCACCTTGGGGGTGACTGGGGGGGGGGAAGAGTTACATCAACTCAACGTTGCAAACTTTGCCTGAGGAAAACGGTTCAGTTGAGAATTGCGGGATGGAGGGGGATAAAAAAAAATTAAATACATCCAGAAGAAAAAAAGTTGAATACATATACGCATGCGTATACACATACTTACAAGTGTATATGGAATATATATATATATATATATATATATATATATATATATATATATATATATATATATATATATATATATATATATAATTTTTTTTCTAACGAGGGGGGGGGGGGGTGACACCATTAGGTGCCGCACCGGGTGACACCCGACCTCGCTACGCCACTGATTTGTACATAGCATTTTTCTGCTTTTAACCGTATGCAGCGGGAGATACAGACTTACGCATAGCTAATACGCAGAAAAGTTGTTTCACTTTCAGTTTCACGCAACCGCCATAAAGAAAAAAACAAAATACAACCAATAAGTTGCATTTAACTACATTTACATTTTAAAGGGCATATGGTTAATTTACATGTATCATAATTTTTAATATACTATTGCTGTAAGTATTGCACCTGAAAGTCCTATATAATAGTTATATTGATAAGAAGTTTGGATTAAACTGTTTACCTTGCTTTGAGGAACGCCGGAACGATTATCCGGAGACATTTTTGAATCTGCGGGAAAAGTAGGCCCGGAACGTCTCTCTGTCACACAGCGGTGACGTCATTCAATGTTGTAAAGGGATGGAGAATGCTGGGTCAGTGGCAGGGGCGGATCAAGCTTGAGTCCCAGTTGGAAATTTTTAGGGGGCCTCCATATATTATATCTATAAAAGCAAAGTGGGGGTTGTTTGTTTTTAACACCCATTAGATAGTTTTTTTTGCCTTTGATAAAGTTTGCTTTTCACTCTCATTCTAACAAGAAAATTAATTCCCTAAACTCCTTTTATCTAGAATATTAACAAACACTACAGCTATAATTTATTTTTATTTAAAACAGATGAAGTTCTAAAACTGTAACGTCAGTCTTTAAAACAGACGCGACTCTCTCTACATTAAAAAAAAAATCCATATTTTGTATTTTGTTGTATTAAATTTGTTCGTGGTTTGTGTGTGTGTGTATTGTATGGGGTGGGGGGGGGGGGGCAAAGCAAAAAAATATATAGAGGTGTTGTGGTCAAATAAGACGTTACGTAACTTACACTATGGGGTAGAATGGGATCTTGGCATAATGCTACGCTCAAAACAGAAACGGCACGAGATTCTAAAAAAAATTCACCTATAGGACTTGTAAGTAGGTCACTTCTCGTTCTAGTACTTGCCAGCTAGTAGATTTCGAGACTGTAGACTTACAAGCCCTATAGGCCTACATCACCTGCTGTTCCTCGTAATCACGGGTCGTTACACAAATACAATGAGCATTCGAGTCAAACAGGTTAAGGCCTATAAGAAATCCTTATTACGAGCTTGTAACTGAATATAGGCTCTTTAATAGAGTAGGAAAAGAAGTCACAGGAAAAAAAGTCACAAATATATATTTGCATGGAATTTGTTAATTCTGTTATGAATTATATATTCAGGGAGTGCAAATTAACTTAGGATTAATAACATGTAATGTAATGTGAGGTTGTATACGCATGGTAATTTTTATATTTCATCTAAAAATATATAGTATGAAGTATATATAATATTAATAGCATTTAATAGAATGTTCCAACGTCCTCGGTTTTCATCGTGTTTTTTTTTAAATACTAACCTTAAATTACCGTGAAATGGTAAGTTCATTTGACTTGCTCCCCTCAACTCATCGCAACAATAGCTATGTTTAGTTCAACCACCTTTAAGGCTGTCATTGACACAAAACGTCAACAACACACAATATGTTCGGACAAAGTTCGGACTGAGGAGAGGCCGACCAGAGAATAACCTACGGCACAATGACGTGCCTAAATTTCTTTTATAATTAACTTTTCTACCGCGTATTTAACTAAATACGTAACAAAAGTTGAGATTGTTGTGTAAATTATCTTAGAGTATGTTTACTTACAATTGTTATAACCATAAGCCATAATGCTTTTAACGTCTATACAAAATTTATGCTATTAAAAATTCAAACCCACAACAATAAACATACACAATTTTATAATTTTCAAAAAAATAAATAAAAATATTTCTGAAAAGATTTTTGTGACTTTTTTACTTTCTCGTATATACGAAGTATAGAGAAAGTCTTGTAATCGTGCAAAAAAAAAAAAATCGAGATTTTTGCAAATCTCGACGTTTTGCATCTCACTGATACGGAAAAACATAATTTTGCAATCTTGTCCGTATGTCTGTGTGTCTGTGTGTGTGTGTGTGTGTGTGTGTCCGTGTGTAAACACGATAACTTGAGTACCGTTACAGCTAGGTTGATGAAATTTCATATATAAGTATTTAATCAAAATCGTAGATCCGTAGCAACTTTTGAGCAATTTCCGATAACCGGAAGTGGTATTTTTCCTACTTTGAATTTTTCAAAAGCCTATAACTTGAGTACTATTTCAGATAGATAAATGAAATTTCATACGTAAGTAAAAGATCTAATTCTCTACCTTCTATTAAATTTTGAGTCATTTCCGTTGACTGGAAGTAGTACTTTACGCTACTTCCGATTTCTCAAAAAACTAATGTAAATTTTAAAAGTAATAATAATATTGCGCACTATTATGCGCTTTTTTATTTCGCGTTCACTTGGTGTGCAATTAATTTGTCTACGAGATTTTATTCTATTTTTAAAACTTTAAGTATTTAAAATGGATTAAAAATCATGTCTATAGCCCGAGTTCCCATTCCCTGTTATTTTATATAAGAATATTCGAGAAAGTTTAGGGGAGATCACTCCCGGTTTATTTTCAGTGACTTTATTTTTGTGACTTTTTCCGATAAAATTTTTCCATTGTTACTTTTTTTTTCTATGACTTTTTTCCTATCAAAAACTGACTTTTCTGTGTTTTTTTTCCTATGACTTTTTTTCCGTTCACCCTTTAATAAATATAGAATGTGTTCGCGATATTGCTTGGTATCAGAGTTTCTTCCAGACATCTCTTCGGTGGTAGAAAAACGAACGAAATAGAATTTATATTGAAAATATATACTTTTACCAGTGTCCTCGCCCCCCCCCCCCCCGCCTCGTAAATTTCAAGTGCTCTCTCTCCCCCCCCCCCCCTCCTGGAGAAAAAAGTCTGGAAGAAACACTGCTTGGTACTTGGTCATCAATAAGGATTGGCAGAGCATGGACACAAATTTGCCATAACAATTGACAGAGATTTTAAAAGATTCGAACATTCCCCTTGATGACCTTAATATGATGTTGATATGGGGATGTCTACATATGTGTATGAGGGTTGTCAAGATTTTTAAAAGCTGATGGAAGACCACAGTGAAAAATACAGAAGAGCTGTAAAAAAACTTCACTTACAAAAATAACACGAGAGTTAGATCTATGTGATATATTTACAGACATCTTCTTGTGGAGTAAGCTACACTTGTTTCAAGATCGAAACATACACAGCTGAGCTGTTGCATGATGTATCTGTGCCTTATAAAGTGACAATTGATTGCCTCCTTTTAGGCAAATCTAAGAGGGCTCACAGACCCCACCAACTATCTTGTGCTACAAATCCATCCACATTGAAGCTTGTTACGTGTGAGATTTCGCTTTTAACCCCCTCGCTCCCTTATTCGAGTTCGACTGCAAACACAACAGTCTCGAGTTCGGATCCTGGGCACAAGTTCGTACGATGTACTTAAGTCTACTCAACTCTGACCCCCAACCACCTTATCTGGTGAGTTTCCTGTTTAATACATAATTCTCAAATGGAGTAACCCTTTTAAAGCTATTATTAATGTCATCTCACTCTTAGGTAAAAAAGGATAGGAGAAATACGGAGCAAGAGGATCGGAGTGAGGGAGATGTGTAAAATAGCAGTCAGTTTGTAAATTAAAAATAAAATAATGAAACCATTCTCTTTAAAATTATATTTTTGTAGAGTAGTGGCTATTCTAGCTTCTACATCTTCAAAAAAAAAAATAATCGCAAACTACTTTTAAAGTATTGTTTTCGAAACTTTGCAGTGTATACACATTGGATTCCTCGTTTTTAATAAATGTTTGAAGATTTGCTGTTTTCCTGTTTGAAGTAGTTCTCATTAATTGTTTCAACGTAATCAAACTAGCGAGATACACTTGTCACAAAGATCATGAGATATCATCGATACAATATACTTAGTTCCGTTCTAATTCACCAAGCCTTTTATTTGAAAGCTTCTTAGTAAATCTGCTTAGCCCCCTTGTTGTAGAGTAGAATTACACTTCTAATCTGAGCTATTTAATTACATCCTTTATAATACAACTTCATTCCTGTATTATTTATTTCCATTTCAATTCTGATATCCACCAAATCAACTTTTTTAGAATTCTATAAACTAGTATAAACTGTTCATAATGTTTTAATGTAAATCATTGCAGTTATGACAAAAAAAAAGCAAACAGAAAAGTTTTAATTATTTCCAATTTTAATTAAAAAAGAATAAATGTATAGCATTTGTATAAGTTGTAACAGAAATCACTAAAAATAAAACCTGAGCAAAATTAACAAATTACGTCCATATAAAATTAAATAAAACGAGTCTTGTATATGAAGTTTAAACAAAGTAGAAATGCAATAAAGATTACTTAAATATATGAAGCTTAAGCATTAATATAATAGTAAATTCCATAAAAAATGAAATTCTGTATTTAATCAATACTTGGAAAATTTGAAGGTTATAAGCTACATAACATTTCTTTCCATTAGTAGTATATAAAATAAGTCCACCATCTATGGATGGCAATGTAAAATTAAAATGAATCTAGATGTTCCATGGAGTGAAAAATAACTTGGTAACATGGGATTTTTCATCTGACTCAATGTATTTAAATTATGTTTTAAGTCAAATAGTAAAACAGTCTAAAAATAAATTCTGTATCACAACGGTCCTAAACATTTAACTGACAGAACATTTGTTTTCAGTTGAGTCTTTGGTTGTTGCTTTGGTGACTGGCTTTACATTAATCATTGTCTTGATGTCATTTTTATCATCAGGAGGCATGAGCTCCTCGATCATATATTCAACTGTCTCTTCCAGTTTATCTACCTGACCATCATAGTTCTCAGGGCAGATTAACCTCAACAGAAGATGTACATTATCAGCAAATTTCCTCATCCTGTTCTCCATTTGTTCCATAATGCTGTCCTTCAGGGCCAGCTTTGTTTTTAGTTCTGTTATTTTCTCTGATTCTGTTTCCATTAAGCTTCTCTCTACATCCATGACACTACTTCTTGATGTTGAAGAGCTAGCTGTTGCAGCCTGCCCCCTGTACAGAGTCCCCCGTCCCAAATTTAGTAAAGTTGGTGAAGAGTCACAGCTTGTTTTAGCAGGTGATAGCACTTGTGAATGATTTGACAAGGATATGTCCGTGCCACCTTCTTCCGCATCATCACTCTGCTGATCATCCTCCATATCTTCCCCAATTAGTTGGTCATCTAGATTCACTTTAACAATGGTATTCTCTTTCTCAGAAATTTCATCTTTAAATATAGCTGTAATACTTTCCAATGAACTTTCAGAGTGTGGCAAGCTTCCCGCTGGTGAAGCTGGGGTCAAGTTGGGATATTCTCCCAAACTCTCGTCTGGCTCTACAGTTCTAGCTAACTTTCTGGCCCCTTCAGTTGCCAGGTCTTCTAAGCTTTCCTGTGAACCCAAGGGTGAAGCCAACAGATTTCTTTCAGAGGCTGACTCTTCTAAGCGTTCCAGTAAGTTTGTTACTAGAACATAAAAGAAAACAACAAGCATAAGTCTTAACTGAATACTTTATGTACAGATTGAAATAAACAGAATCTTAATCAGTACCTATTAAGTAAACTACTAATTTTTTAATCAGTACAATTTGTTTTGAAAATGCTTCATAGGTCTCATTGGCACCCCGTCAAAAGAGCGCACGACAAAAGAGCGCCGACATAAGAGCGCAGACAAAAGAGCGCCGACATAAGAGCGCACTAATTTCCCGACAAAAGAGCGCCGACATTAGAGCGCAAACTAAAGATCGAAAACCATAGTTAATGGTTAATAAAAATTAACTCAGATCAGAAGGCATCGTTTGATGTTAACTCTTTATTGTTTCATTAAAAAACTAATTGTTCAGTTTCTTTAACTAAAAAAGTGATAAAATCAACGTGAAGTCCAATTATTCAAAACGCAATCTAATAAAACATACAAAGATTTTAAATGTTAGGCCTAAATTTAGAATATAAACTGAAATGAAATGTAACAAAATGAAAATATATTTCAAATGAATAAAACGTTTCTTTATAGTTGCATTTATATTGCTTCCACCAGCATTTGCTCTGTCCTTTCCACATCTGTAGCCTTCGACCAATATAATAACCTTCCCTTTCTGTGATTCGATTTTCTCCATGTTTCTTGGGTTAGAAATATTGTCAAACTGCATTCATAACATATTACCCATAATATATAAATAAAGAAGTTGTTCTCTCGCAGATTTTTTAATTAAAAAAGTGTTAACCATGTCATATTCGTTTAGCGTACAAAAATGTGTTGTTTTTTTTAATTGACTGCGCTCTTATGTCGGCGCTCTTTTGTCTGCGCTCTTTTGTCGGCGCTCTTTTGTCGTGCGCTCTTTTGACGGGTCACCTGTCTCATTATGGGGTTTTGATTAATGTTGTAATGTAATGTACTGACCATACAAATATCAGATCCACCCCTCACTTGTATCATAAAGTTTCAACAGCTCCCCCTTCAAAACATAATTCAGATTTACATGTTTCTCACAGCCTTCACTAAACACAAGATGTATATAGCCTTTTACATGAGGCTAGAACACCCTTCCACCTACTTACAAACACTATATTTTCTGTTACAATAACTTAAATTTCAGTTTTTGGAGATATAGCGGTGGTCATTTTAAATGTATAAATCCTACCATACTTTCCCATTAATCAATCTAACTACTCAATACATATTTTATTTAGTCTATTTTATACTATTTTAGCTCCCACTAAATGTTTGTTTCTAAAAATTAGAGTTACTCTACTTTAATTTCCTCACTATTAAAGTTTGATAAAATTTAAAGTTTACCTGATGTTGTGTTAGACGCCTCACAACTATCAAAATCACTGGTCCCTGCTGGAGTAGAACCTTGCAGTTTTTTGTTGAAAAAAGGAGAAATGATAAGTTTAGTGTCAGATGATCTCAGTGTTCTCTTGTTTGGAGTGTGGTCCTTTAATTCATCATCTTCCATGTTACTTAATCTTTTCCTAGGTGAAAACATTGAAACAATTACTTCTGTTGATCTGTTTTTATTTTATACACATCCAGATTAACATATAGCCTCCATTTTAAAATACATTACAAAACATTTTTTACCAACAAGGCAATCTTAACATTGATAGAAAATTAACAATATAATTAATAACTGTTTATAATCAAAAGTGATTTTTAACAGAATTTTTATGAATAAAGTAAACATTAAAGCAGTATTATTTCTTACAGGTTATTTATAGAGCTTGGGTTTTCATGTTCTTGGGATACTTGCTTGAGAATGGACTGAAACACATTATGTTAATTAGGTAAAAATAATTCCACTACATTCTGTTTGTTGGGTAAAAATAATTTCACTACATTCTGTAAGTTGGTTAAATAAATTATTAACAAATACTTAGTGAAAAAATCTTAAAATCTTAATTTTAAATATTCAGTTTTCAGCAAGAAAAATTAATTTAAAACAATTGTTTTTGTAATTAAAGTGTATTATAGAAGTATGTGACTATAGCAATAAATATTATTTTATAGAAATGATACTTCTATTTTTTGGCGTTTTTGTGGAGGAAATTTAAAACTTTATACCTACTTGAATAACCTTTTTCTGTTTCTCCTTTGTCTGTTTCCTAAAAATGAACATAAAAAGATTCAATGGGTGTAAAAATATTCAAACAAGAAGACAGGCAAGGTCAAGGGAGACAGCAGAAAAATACTGACAAGAGCCTGACTATCTTGGGGAATTGAAAAAAAGTTGCCAGAACTGACAAAAGTGAAAAGAGCTTTCTTTGGTGATCCCATGTGTCCTGGGGACCTTGGGTAAAGAGTGAGGATGATGCAAACATTTTTGAAAATATTTTGTTACTGATGGCATAATTATAATAACAATAAATATTCATATTTGTTTCATAAGAAATAGTCCCTCATTATTATCCCAAAAAAAGATACCTCAGTGTTAAATAAGTCATGTGCTAAAATTATATTTACCAGAAAATTAATTATCTTTTTTATCTTCTTTATTACAGTAAATACTTCATTAAAAATTATTCTTTAGAAGTCACAATTAACTTTTAAATGAAAACAAAAGTGCGAACAACTTTTGGATTTAAAAAAATCATAGACTTATATTCTTTTTGGTAAGAAGGTATGAACCAATATAATTATAATAAAACCATTAGGCGACAACAAGACATAACAGAGCTAGTAATAGTTACTTGTTGAATTCAAGCAGAAATATATATTATTATAAAAATAAATTAACTAATTATTGTTACAGATATAGAATGCAAAAATATTGAAATCAAATGTTAAAAATAAGACCTAACATTTTAGATTTGTGAGTTTTCTTATAAGTTTTTCTAACCACAGTCTCATCTTCTTCCTCAGCTTCTTCTGCAATATCACAACGGCTGTTGAGAAAATTATAAAAATTTTACAGCAAATATATTGTTTTATTATTAATAATATTTTGTTTTCAACTATAGACATATTGCATAATTTGTAAAATGAAAAAAAAAGATTAATTAATCATCAAAAGAAAGTAATGATGAAAATAGTTAAATCTTTACATACTTGTGTGTTGCATCGCGATTCATTCGACAAAACCATTTATCTGGGAGATTTTCCTTCAAAGTCCCAGGAGGTTGTCTTCTCCACTTGAGGCACTGATCACACTGGGCCCAGAGACAATCAGGATTCTTTCTGACAAAAAAATAGAAATCAATGGGAATAAATTATTTGGCCTGCAATTTTAATTTATTTAGATTTTATGCAATTCAGAATTACCTAAATTATGGTTGAAATTTTAAATCAATACATGCAAGGCTTAAGAAGCTGAAAGAATTTGAATACTTACTCAGTCATTGAGGTTTGAGAGAGGTCACCACCTTCCATCTTTTCATTCCAGTAATCATTTAGTTTAGTACCAAATGCTCCCATAACAGACCTACAGAAAATTATTATCTTGTACTGAAGTTTCATATGCCTTTAATGCTTGCAATCTATTAAAAACTATTCAATCTTAAGTATTTGGAATCTTTATGCCTTATTTAAAAATGCCAAAGTTTTTTTTAAAAAATGAGGTGTTCTAACCTGAATTTATCATCAGGAATAAAATCTTGTTTGTTGTGAGTTGGTGTTAAGAAGTCAACTTCAGCCACACCCACCACACCCACACCTTTGTCATTTGGCTACAAAAAGAATTTGAGTGTAAGCATTTATCATAATCTCATGATCAACACATTGTCAGCTTAAGTTTATTACCAAGTTCTTACTTGCTTCTGATATCCAACTTTTTCATAAGCTTTTATAAGTCGATTTTTATGGTACAGCATCATGCCATAATCTTCTGTTTTATCTTTTTCACAGGAAAAACCAATTGTGATCTTTACAGGTTTGTCCTGTAAAAAAAGATTTAGAAATGTGAATTAACAAGATATAGCAAACATTAAAGTGAGACAGGAAATTTTAAGTAGTAGCGCCAAGGTTGCAAGCAGGGTGTTATATGTCAACAGTAGAGTGAGAGTGGCTAAGAGAATGATGCAGTGGGAGTCAAGCGATTAAATTTTTTTTCTTTTTTTACAAGCACTACTTAGTAATAATAATATAATAACATTAAAATTTTGAAAGTAATGGACAAAAAATTGGCAAAAGAAATTGTATAGTTACCAGCCAATTAGGTTTGTACGTATCAGTTTCTGTTTTATGTAAAGATTTAGCAACAAGCCTTGATTTAACAACGCCACCTCGCAAAATTATTTGCATTCTTGGACGAAGGAACAGAATTGTACAATATGTCTGGTAAGTGTAAAAAAAAACTTTGGTAGTAAATTCATTTTTTAAATTACATTGATCTTTTTAAAATGAAAATTTAGATTTTCAATAGTAAACATTTGCTTAGTATAAATAAAACCTTGAGCATTTCCTATTATACAAAACAACAACATTAAAGTAATAGTAAGAATGTGTGGGCAAATGTTTTGATAGCAGCTTTATTATACATTTTTAAGTTTGTTATTTCTGTGTGTAGACACAATTATAATAAACATACTAAAAGATTTTAACTAAAACCATGTGTTTAAATAGGTAGTTGTTTTGAATAATCTGCCAACTTTAAAGAAAATAATTTGTAAACATGACTAAGAATTCAGAAATACAGTTACTTAAAAAAATAATCACAATCATGCACAGGGCTATAAAATGATGCATATTTATTGAAATGAAATTTGTTTCGGGCTTACTCTTAATGATGTTCTGTACTCTGAAATTTGAGCGGCAATGGTGCGATCTTCCCAACTATCTGTATCCTGTCTGTGAACTTCGGGGCATCGAATATCTTTTAGGTCACTTGCAAAATCTAGCTCTAATGATCCATCTTGTAACCTGCATTTTCACAAAACAATTACACCAACAGATTTGCTCTTTTATCTCTTTACATTCCGGCCATAAGTTGTGGGCATTTAATTTTTTTTTTTTTATGTTGTTAAAAGGAGCTTGCCCAAGAAGTTTTTTTTTGGTTTGTAAATAATTTAACTAACAAAGCAGCAGACAGTTAATTAAGGTATTACTGAAATGAACATCAAATGAAAAAAAAATCATACATTGATAAAACAAAAGCCACAAATCATGAACATCTGGTGTATAATTATTTTTTTAAAACTTCATTTTTTAAACTTCAGTTTAATTTTTATAGTACCTATTTAGACTGTAGTTAATGATTTTTAATACAAGCTTGTATATACTTACTTTAAATTATAGATAATAATTTTAGTTCCTGAAATAGAATTTCCCAAACTCTTCAGTTCATCTAACAACTCCTTTTCTTCTTTATAGATTGAGTACTCCAGGATTGCTTTCAGACAGTTTCTTGTGTCCAAACTATCACTGCGTGTTAGTGCATGCGAGTCAAGGAAATACACAAAAAATCATAATCTTCACCTCACAGTATAGCCCTGGTCTTATAATATAATAATATATATGTTAAAATGTGTTATAGTTTAAATATTGAGTTCTTGATCAGCAATCTATAGGCTTTATTAATAATTTTCACTGATAACTATACTTAAACTCCAAATATAACTATAAACTCAACCCAAAGCCTAGAATTTGCTCTAAGCATAACCTAGACTAAATATTAGTAGGCCTATTAAAGTTTACAGTGTAAACAAAGTTGACAGGAACAAAATCTTTTTACTTTCTGTAAAAGGATATGGTCTGGAAGAGTGTACTCAACTATTGGCACCACAACACAGTCAGCTCCGGAACGCTCTAGGTAAGTCTGAGACAAAAAGCCAACACTGGCAGATTCGTGACATCTGGTGAAAACTAGCGCGTCTTTTCCAAGACGCATAGAGCCAGACTTGAAGCCATTCCCATAATGTCCAATAGGCTTGTAAGTGCCTTTGGTCTCATAAATATCCTTTTCACAGAATCCAAAACTGTAAATGGATATTGAGAATAAAAAGTTATAATTCTGAGCTGAAAATAGAATCAACTATTGAATTTTAGCATCAGTTAATTTTATTACACTAGTGACTAGAGATTTAAAAATTGAATGGTAAATTAGTAAATAAATTAAATATTACTATTGAGTCTAAATTACAAAAATAATTAGTAGATCTAGTATTTAGTAGGTCTAGTGTACTTAGTTATTATTAGTAGACTAGGCATAAAAAAAACTAAAAAAAAAATAATTAGGCCTAATAATTAATAAATTTAATCGAGGGTGTTACAAACAGTTAAAAGTTTTTAAAAGTACCTGGACTTTGCCATTGTTTTACTGTTTTTTACTGCTATACCATTCCGGAATAATAACCGACGCTAAACTAAGGTTTTACCAGTACCTGAGCATTTTGTGAAGTTTTTCATAGTCCATTCCAGCCCCATTGTCCAGGAACAAAAGACAGGTGGTGTCATTGATGTCGACCTTATCGATGAGAAGTCTGGAAGCGCTAACATCAGGATCGTAAGCATTGTCTGGGAAAACATACAAACAATAAAAAATGGGATTAAAAAAAAGAACCCCTCGTGAAACAAAAATAATGTGTAGACCAAAAAATAAATAAAATAAAATAAAGGAATCAACATCTAGACTTTCAAATCCAAGAAAACTTAAAAAAAAAAAAATTAACCAGTAGATCTATCTACATTTTCAAAATTTGCCGACGCACAATGTAGGCATTCATACAGCGTTTAGTTTAACAAATTTTGTCTGTTTTGAAAAGGGGTCGTCCACACACTAAAACAAAAACCACCCCCAAGAATGTCGACAAGTTACATGTCTATCCACCCCTATAATTATAGTTCTAACGAAGAATACACGACAAATCCTTTTTTTTTTTAGCTTTTTTTTTTTATTTCACGTCACCAAAGTGTGCCCCTTCTCCCAAGAGTGAATCGACATTTCTAGAAGACACATAAGGTATTCTTCTTGCTGTCTAAGTGCTTAAATGTGCTTAAATAAAAGTAAACATTCATCCACGGTTACATGTAGGCCCTACCAATGTTTATGTATAAAAGTAAACATTCTATCATAGTCACACGTACCAATGTTCCATGTATAAAAGTAAACATTCTATCATAGTCACACGTACCAATGTTCATGTATAAAAGTAAACATTCTAATCTATCATAGTCACACGTACCAATGAGTTCAGCTATGGCGCTGAATGCCCAAGTGTGGCTGGTTGAGTTACTGTGTAGAAACTTTGGATTAATCTACAAACAAGAAATATTTTTATAAACGTATATGCATATATAGGCATAAATATAGATTTTTTCGGGGGGGGGGGGGGGGGGGGGTGGTGACACCGCCACTGTATAGCCCTATATTATTCCTTGTTAACGTAAACTAAGCATGAACAGCTGTTTACATTAAAGAAACAACTTAATTTTTCACTAATTATGAAATTAATGCAATTTTAAAAATCTGCTTTTATAGTACACAAATATTTATAGAGTATACGTTTTTATCCGGAGAGGGGAAGGTTTTCAATAATGCTACAGCACAGGGTCTACGACGTCCTTTTCAATTAAATATTGTGTGTACGATCCCGTATGGGTAGTTGTTTTTTTCAAACTTGTTTTAAATTGACACTTTATAGAATTGGTTCATGATTTAGAAACATAGGCCTTTATTCCACATTAAAATTAAGAAAACTATATAAATACACACAAATATATATATATATATATATATATATATATATATATATATATATATATATATATATATATATATATATATATATATATATATATATGGACGGAGTGGTCTAGCGGTAGAGAGCTGGACTGCTAACCCGTAAGTCTCGAATTCGAATCCGGGTTCAAGTCAGTAGACCGCCCTGAGTCCACCCAGCTCAGCTCCGATGGGTACCTAACTCACGTTAGGGGAGTAAATGCGGCTGGGCATAGTGCTGACCACACTATCTCTTCATATGCCGAGGTCACAGAAACAAGTGAACTCTACTTCACTTGCCCTATAGACCACCAGGTTTGAAAGGGGAACTTTACTTTTCTTATATATATATATATATATATATATATATATATATATATATATATATATATATATATATATATGTAAATATATATTTATAGGCCGATATATAGATATTTTTCGGGGTGGGGGTTACCGCACCGGGTGACACCCGACCTAGCGACGCCACTGCTCACAGACATATATATATATATATATATATATATATATATATATATATATATATATATATATATATATATATATATATATATATATATATATATATATATATATATATATATATATATATATTATATAGGCCATTTGATTAGGCTAGATTATTTAAGCTTATATATGGCGTGCATTAATATAAGAACAAAATGCATATCCAACTGAACCGTATAAGTAGGGGCCTAATTAAGTTTATAACATTTTTGAACACGTTAGTTTCTTGTTTTACTTTCAGTTTCTAGAAATAAATATTTTCCTGGAAAAGGATGTGATTCTAAGAAGGGATACACAGTTTTATTTCTGGATTAAAATTAAATAAACATAACATAGATCTAGTTAAATTTGTAAATATGAAGGTCTATAGGCCTTTACACTTTACAAGTTAAGTTATTAACGATAAGAAATAAACTATCGTAAATTTTACATTCGTCTTCAGTAGCAAAAAGTAATAAAGAAATGTTCATGTTTTTATTTGTTTCACTTTCTATTTGTGTTCATAAGCAACACATTACGTGACGGGTTTTCCCATTTTCCCATGATCGAAATTATAAAAATTGAAAGCTAGGTATAGAAGTAGATTTCTAGATCTATAGCTTAACTAAAATCTAAATCTGTTTTTTTTTTACAGGTAATAGAACAGCTTAAAAGTTATTGAAAACAAATTTACCTTGCAGAGAGGAATGCCTTGAAAAGTATTCGAAGCCATTCTACTTGTCCTATTGATGGGAGCAAGAATTCAACAACTTAAGTAGGTCATCCAATGCAACTAACAGTAATATTATTATCCAAGGGGAGAAAAAAGTGAAATGGTTCTAAAATTGTTGAATTCAAGAGTTATCCGTTTCGATATAGAGCACCGCTGGTAAACTTTACGGACCAACCGTAGATAAAAGCAGTTAAAAGTCCAAAACGAAATAATTAAAATAATTAATTTTTTAGCAGTATACTGATATAAGACTGGGTTCTATTTAATATTAAATATACTTATACATATACGGGGCCCACACACTCGTAACTCTGTATAGATAAATAAAAAAAAAAATAGCTCGTATGTGAATAATGTCAAACACACGATTGTCCACTTTCCTTCTAGCACTTTTTAAAGACCATAGATCTAGTCCACACAAAATTTCAGCATAGTTCAAGATCGGTGTTAAACTGTGCATGCGATTTTCCATGTCATTTTCCCATCAAATCTTTTAGTAGCAAATCATGCTCAACATAAGATTCAAATGTCTATCTTTATAAAAGCCGCGTCTAATTTGAAACAAACCCATAAACTTTCTCGAATATTCTTATATAACATTACGGTGGACGGAAACTAGGGATTTAGACATGAGTTTATTCCATTTTTAATTACTGAAACTTAAAAAAAAATAAACCGGGAGTGATCTCCCCTAAACTTTCTCGAATATTTTTATATAAAATAACAGGGGATGGGAACTCGGGCTATAGACATGATTTTTAATCCATTTTAAATACTTAAAGTTTTAAAAATAGAATAAAATCTCGTAGACAAATTAATTGCACACCAAGTGAACGCGAAATAAAAAAGCGCATAATAGTGCGCAATATTATTAGTACTTTTAAAATTTACATTAGTTTTTTGAGAAATCGGAAGTAGCGTAAATTACTACTTCCAGTCAACGGAAATTACTCAAAATTTAACAGAAGGTAGAGAATTAGATCTTTTACTTACATGTGAAATTTCATTTATCTATCTGAAATAGTACTCAAGTTATAGGCTTTTAAAAAATTCAAAGTAGGAAAAGTACCACTTCCTGTTATCGGAAATCGCTCAAAAGTTGATACGGATCTACGATTTTGATAAAATACTTATATATGAAATTTCATCAACCTAGCTGTAACGGTACTCAAGTTATCGTGTTTACACACACACACACACACGGACAGACACACACACACACAGACATACGGACAAGATTGCAAAATTATGTTTTTCCGTATCAGTGAGGTGTAAAACGTCGAGATTTGTAAAAATCTCGATTTTTTTTTTTTGCACGATTACAATACTTTCTCTATACTACGTATATACGAGAAAGTAAAAAGAATCTCGTAGAAAAAAAATTGCGCACCAAGTGAATGACAAACAATATTTGTATAATAGTGCGGAGTATAAGTACTTTATAATTTCATATTAGTTTTTTTGAGAAATCGAAAATTACTACCTCCGGTCAACAGAAATTACTCAAAATTTTATAGATCTTTTACTTACATGTGAAATTTCATATATCTATCTGAAAAAAAAAGTTCTTCAAAACTGCAAATTTGATATAATACTTATATATGAAATCATCAACCTAGCTGTAACGGTACTCAAGATATCGTATTCACATACACACACAGGCATACGGACAGAATTGCAAAACTCAGTTTTTCCGACTCGATTACGCATAAAACGTCTAAGTTTTGATAAATCTGGATTTATTATTTCTGCCCGATTAAAATAAGTCCCCTATACTTAGGATATGATGAAGTACTGAGGTGCAAAACAGTGAAAACTGTCAACATGTGATTTTTGTGCACGATTACATTACTTCCTCTATACTCTGTATACGAGAAAGTAAAAAGAGATTTATTTTTACTAATTTTTACTAGATTAATTTTAGGTCCTTGTAATTTTTGTGTTTACACAATGGCGTAGGCGAGTGGGGCGGGGGTGCTAGGTTGTGTTCGATAACCCCTCTAGATCCCCCCCCCCTCCCCAAACACGTCTGTCTCAGTTACGGTTATTATCGACGGCACACTCGTTTCGCTTTCAAAGTGTTCAGTTTCAAATTTGCAATTACCATAAAAATACAAAACAAAATAAAAAACAAACCACAATTCATCGTTTTACGGGTTTAATATTTTATAGACAATTTAGGAACCCTAATAGGAGGGTTGGCCTCCCCACTACTCCTGTAGGTAGCTACACTGAAGCTTTAGTATATAGTTGAATTCAATTAGTTCTATACCCTTACAATACAGCAGACAGGTGACTATCCCATAGGTATTCCAACAATTTGAGAAGCGCTGAGTTGAATAAAAAAATCACGTCAACACGACCGATAACAACCAAGTTATTCATCTTTAGCCTACTGTAGACAGCTGTTATAGCCAGGGATGTGCCCTAGTTAAGGGACACCGTGTAGTGTAGCGTAACTTGACTCAACTGACCTAGAGAGAGCTTATTGAGGCAGGGGTTTTGGGTATAGAAGGCTCCACTGTGTGGAGTTATCGACACGCATCGTTGAGAATTAGGTTGTGTATGTGTATCGTGTTCACTTCAGAAATATTTTCCATATTGCAAAGCAGTATTTTGTATCTAGATCAAACCACTGCATCCTTCAGGCATCTCACTATGCAAACCCCCCCCCCCCCCTCCCCTGAGCATGTCCACAGAAAAATGTACAGAAAATATATACTTTTAACTTATTATCTCCCAAGAAGAAAAATGTATGAAAGAAACCCTGGGCCAAAAACACCAATGCTTTGGCCATTTTACTAACAAAACATGTATACATTTGACATAATATTGTTTCATGGTGAAAAATTATTATTTATTGTCTTCCTTTAGTGCATCTATACATTTCTGTATAGTTTTAAATTTTAGCAAACTAGTATGAAAGCTAATACATTGCTGAAGGGTCGCCCTTAAAGGAAGTCACACTACCTTGGCCGATCGTTTACCTACCACCTCTATTATGACAATAGTATGACAGTATGTGGGGTTTACCTTACATGACGTAAGGTAAACCCCACATACTGTCTTCATTTACAAGCCCCTACCCACTACAGAATGTTTTGTTCGAAGGCATCAATTACGAATGGCAATTTCAGCTAACCCGTGCAAGGTTAGGTATGTGGATACATTGTATTATCATTTACACACACGTCTTTGTAAAAAATAGAAATCAGGATTACATGTATTACATTAAAATAAGTTTTAAATATAAGAATGTGACGATACATTCTCTAATCTCACCCATTGCCTTAATTTCTAAAGGCATCGGATGGGGTGGGGGGGGGGCGGGTTGGAGGGGCGAACACTGGTAAAGTATATATTTTCTATATAAATTCCATTCAGTGTTTCTTCCAGACATTTTTCTCCGGGGGAGCACTTGATATTTTCGGGGGGGGGGGGGCGGTCAACATTTTCCGAGGGGGGGGGGGGGGGGGAGAGCGGACACTGGTAAAAGTATATATTTTCTATATAAATTTCGGGGGGGGGGGGGGGTAGACTTATTTGGGGGTAAAACTCCCCCCCCCCCCCCCCATCAAGAGATGCTACGAAGAAACTCTGATTCCATTTCGTTCGAGGGGAGGGGTAGACTTACTTGGGGGTAAACCCCCCCCCCCTCAATCAAGAGATGCTTGGAAGAAGTTTGTGAACTTCTTGAAACACGTTTATTGCCCGAGTTATGGGTAAATAACATTTGTTAGTTTAATTTCTTTTTCCAAAAAAAGCACTTAGCACATTTATCTTTGAGCTGATAGCAATCAACGATAGTTATCTACACAGCTTATCATGAAGTTTTGTAATCAAGTAGGTGTATAAACATAATAGTAATCTTTCAAATGCACACGTTTTGGGCATGGCCTACTTGACATGATATCATTAACTTACAATGGACGCCTTTTGCTGTGGAATATGTTCCCTTAGAAAATAATGGAATGCAGATAAAAATTAAAATATTTTGTACATTTTTATTTTTAGCGCAATTTCCATTCTTGAGGATTGCGTTTATTAACCCGTCATTTCTGAATGTATGAATGTGTGTCCGCAGCTTTAAGTCGTATCTCCTCCTCAACGAAGCAATATCGAGGACTAGTTCCAAAAGCAATAATGTTAAGCAAGTTAAGAGGATGAACATAGGCCATAAAAATTCCGGGTTTCTTTCATGGATTTCCCGGAAAAGCCAAAAAACCTCGAAAAAATGCAGTTTTTGGCCCATATCTCGGCAACCAGACCACTTAGCGACTTGAAACATTTACCAATCGATTCCAGCCATAATTTAGAACAATATTGCCGAAGAAAGTTTTCAAAAATATCCTTTCGTTCGGTCACAAAATTTTTTTTGAATTAATTAAAATTTGGACCGAATTAGTAGGCATGTTTATCCAACCACACCACACGCGTCATCACATTCAATAGCTGCGCCATCACGTTCAATGGCTGCGTCATCACGTTCGGTAGCTAGGCGCGCAATGGTTTTTAGTCATGTAACTCTATTGTAAATAAAACATGTATTTTAACCAATGGTTTTACTAACCCTGCTCTTGATTTACGCTACGACAGAGCTATTTTTGGATAACATAAGGAAATTGCGCTAAAAATGTCACCAGACTTTTTAATTACCTTGTTTTTAGTTTTTGCCAATAGTCTTAATTTTTTCGGTATGAAAATAAGAAGTAATAATATTACCAGTTGAAACTATTTTTTTTGGTCTCTTTTTAAATAGCTTTAGTGTGAGATAAGAGTCAAAATACTTAGCTGTTAAGTTTAATTTTTCTTTGATTGTAATCTGTCAATTCAATTATCTAAATAATAAAAAGATCTTTTCTTATTAGTCTAATGTTAAGCACTCTATACAAACAATATCTGCCTACAAAATACACTTAATTAGTGGATTTATGTACACGACTTGTATTCATTCAATATCAACTAATATTTCTAATATTTCTAAGCTCTTCACCTTTCTTTTTTGATTTTTATCTAGACCTATTTCCCAAGTAGAACTTGGACTCAATAGTTGGACACATTCTTCCGAACCGGTGACCGTAGGTATAAAGTATAAACGAAACCCGGAAACAAGTAGATATCCATTCAATAATTTTTATTTTATTAAAAGAAACCCTTAGCCAGATGCGAAAGTAAAATAGAATAAGTAAAATATGCACATATAAATACATATAGCCATATACACTAATTAACTGCCCATTATTACGACTAACAATATTGATCAAGATTTTATGATCACATTGGCTAGTTATTAGATTGCATTGCAGTGGCGTAGCGAGGTCGGGTGTCACCCGGTGCGGCACTTAATGGTGTCACCCCTCCGCCCCCCCCCCCAGAGGCATAGAGACCCTTCCCAGGGACAAACTTTCAAACTTTCGATTTGCACCCCCCCCCCCCCTCAAGTTTTCGATTTGCACCCCCCCCCCCCTCAAACTTTCGATTTACACCCCCCTCGAGTTTTTCTCTATATTTTGTGCTATTTTTTGCCTTGGTGTCACCCCCCTAAATGGTGTCACCCGGTGCGGTCCGCACCCCCCGCCCCCCCCCTCGCTACGCCCCTGTTGCATTGTTCCCCAGACCACCTGCACCCAACACACCCAACAATGTTTATATGCCCAGCCCTAAAAAACCAGCTAGGATTAAAGCTCGGTCTTCACCCAGATTACAATGGTTCCATCTGGTCGTTTCAGTACCGTGTCTGACCCAATCCATTATCATATTAACAAAAAAAAAAAACCCCGTGCTTTAATGAATGATAAAAAACCTGATAAAAAATATTAGCTAAGGTCTTACTAATTCTACACACATTGAGTCAATAGGTATACATGTTTTACGAAGTAACTACAATACATATCATTATATCAATCGCTTTTAGGTCACATAACTGGTTTTATTTTCTGAAGGATTCGTTTTTTTTTTAAATAACAGAGAAAATCACAATTATAGTACAAGTAAAATCGCAGGTACGCGTGTGTCTTTATATTCTAATGGGCATAAACAATTTAGTCGAGGTTGAGAAGGATATTTAATTTCTTAAAAAAAAAAAAGAATCAAAGTGCATAATTACAATATAAAGCATTCGGTGAAAAATAGAATATGGACTTAATTTAAAAAAAAAAGGCCGTTGATAGCACATCAGTGCATATTTTCCAGCTACTGGATGCTATTTATAATAAATTGAACACACTATTATCATGTCATTCAATAACCTAAATTGATCAGTATTTGATACAACTTTAAAAATTGTATGAGCGTTTAATTAAACTTTTACGTTGAATTATTCAACTCACTCTCATTTTTGTATTCTTTCAACAGATTTTTAACCGTATGTTCCACTTGATCCAAAGTACCGTCATATGGTGGACATATACGCATTAACAAATGATGAACATTTTTACGAAAATCTTCCATTTTACGTTTCAAGCCATCGTTAATTAATCTCTGTATTGAAAGTTTATCTTTTAGTTGCTGTACATCTTCTGACTCTGTTTCGACAACACTTTGTGTGTTTGAACAGCCAGCGATTCCATCAGTCTGCGTAGGGTTGCAGGGGTTTGTTCCACTTGTGGATGCTTGTTGTGAACTACTGGCATCTGTGGTAGGTGAGCACAGCTGAGTCTCAGTTAACAGGGGAGTACTGAAAACCTCTCCTTTTATTATATCGTCTTTCACGTGATTGTCCACATTTTCTGAAAGCTGATTCTCTTGAGTTACTTGGGTATCGGCTGTGGCATTATTTGTTTGACAGTTTTTTCCTCCAGACATACTAGTAGAGACTGCTGCGTTATTAGGTGCTGAAAATGTATACAAAACACAATGACCAATTTCAAATTAAAAAAAAACATGACCACAATATCATTTTTACAATAAACTGAAATTACTTTGAACATAATCAGCTAATAAATCTTAAATAAAGTGTCCAATCGTTCTAAAAACACCTAAACAGCAAATGGACACCGATGTTTTACAAGAAAAAATTGGAGCACTTGTTCAAATTTAATTTTACTAACACAATTTAACGTTTACATTATGAATTATTTAAATGATAAATACTGTTTTGATTGCATTAATGTTTGGTGAGCCGTATATTTTATACTTTGCTGATGCTCACATTTTATATATCTATACATTATTTAACTTCAACAAATAAAAATTTGATAATATTCATTAAAATCTTTGTAATTACACAGAGTATTATTTCCTTGGTCTTCAGTACTGATATGTATTGGCGCAATGATTGAGGGAGAAGACTCACGAAGTCTTGGCGATTTTTGGCTTGTGCTAGCTACACTGTTATAGTCTGTCATGTCTTCACTTTCTGTTTTTCTTTTCCTTGAAGGAGGAGGCTGTAAAAACCGTTTGATGAATTCAGTGAAATAAATATTGAAAGTGAGTCCTTGTAATTTAGTCGAACACTATTTATTATTTGACGAAGTAGGCATACCTGACTATTGCTTATGCTTGCTTCTAATTTTGGTCTTCCGGGTAAATTCTCTGTCAAGCTTTATTTGGAATTAAAAAGGTAAGTATTTTATTAAATTAATTAACTCATTTAATAATTTAAAATTTGTATCCATATTGAAAAATAATACATAAATTTAGCAGCTAATAGACATAATCACGTAAATCTTTAGAGTAATTATTGAAATAAGAGATTGTGTTTATGCGAAGAGTTTAATGTCAGTTTCATATAAAACTACATCTAAGTTCATGACAAGTATTTAAATATGGCGCCATAGTCTAAGACTATTGTATGATTGCGCATTGGAAATCCAGGGACAACGCTTGGGTGTTAAGATGAGAAGAGTCAGATGTTGCCCATGTATCAGACCCCCTCTCTCCACACAACTGATAGGCACAAGGAACTAGACTTAACCAAACAACTTGTACTCAGCAGTGTCTATGAATATATTCCATATTAAGAAAATGAAAAATTAAAGCTAAACTCATTTTTAAAAAAAAGAATGATGTGTTAGCTTCTTATCTTTTCTACCTTGTTTCTTGTTCATGCTCATCTGTTCTGATAAGATTGCTGAAAATGTAATTGTAAAAAAATGTCAGTAGGCAATAAAAGAGAAAGGTAAACACTAGATTCTTCTAAAAACCTGAGAATAAAAAGATAAAGTGTGTTCTTTAGAAACATAAAAAAAAAACAGTAGTGAGACATTTGTAGTTACGATATACGTGTGTGTTCATACATGTCAGCTGACTCGTGTAACGGCCCCAACATCTCGGCGGGACTGCCACGACCATGGTGGACGCTGGTGGCTTCAGACGAGTTTTCTGCAACTCTGGATGAACCAGAAAGTCGCTTAGAGCGAGTTCGGGACCTAGAAAAAATGAGGTAAAATGGAGCAGATTTAATAACATACTTGTGTGGTTGTTTATATATTGTAACTCCATTTTGACACATAGTTGGCTCGCTTTCTCCTTCGCTCTCTCTCTCTCTCTGTCTCTCTCTCTCTGTCTCTCAAATAAAGACAAAACCGGCTCGAGCTGTGTTCTTTGTCAGTCAAACCGCAACATTTTGATTAAATGATCACTATCGCACTCTTATTGTCAGACCGCAACATATTGATTAAATGATCACTATCGTGGAGTAGCTTTTACAAGGAGGTATTAGCGACACCATGTTTTAATTTCAAGATATTCTTTAAACAATACATTTTTATAGTTGTACTAATGCTATTAGATTACATTCAGCTAATTGTGAACTATCGATTATTCTTACTTGGAACGATTAGTTTCTTTTATTTTATGTACAGTATCCAAATATCTAAAAAAAAAAACAACTAAAAATCCTTAGCTTGTTCAATAAAGCATCACACTACTTTTGAAGTGGAAGGTGTCTTAATATTCAATGAATCTTACTACACTGTTTAAAGATCTGGCACAAAGCACGCGCAACATAGGCCCAGTAGTTGTTTGAGAAAGCTATAGAGTACTATAATAATATTTATTTTTACATCGAAATTCTAAAAATTGGGAAATAGAATGCTAAATTACTTTCACGAACTCAGTCACATTTACAACAATTATAATATTCATTCATCATAAATTCAATCAATTATATAATTTATTTAATATTAATTAAAACTGTGTTGTTACAAAATCTATTGAGTTGAAACTCTTATTACCTATAATTATAATATTAAAATTATCTTCTTACCCTTTTGCATGATCTGATATCTCTCTTTTGTTTTTCCAAAAATCATTGACCCTCTTTGCAAAAACTCCGACTACAGTGCTGCAAAAGTATTTTCAAATATACAATTGAAGCAAAGCTACACAAAAAACATATTGGATGGTATATTTTACATTATAAAATAAAATATTAAATATATTTCATCACAAACTAATATTAATCTTTGTAAAAAAAGCTTAACAACTAACTTTCTTGTAAAGTTAATGAAACAGAATATTTTACAATATTTACTAATTTAGAAATATATTTTATATATATTTTTTTACCAGTGACAGAAAAGATAAATTATTTGATATTCACGCCTAAACAAAAAAGAAAAATACGTATAAAATACTAACTTGTATTTAGCGTCCGTTTCAAAGTCTTGCTTGGTGTGAGTAGGAGTTAGAAAATCAACATTTGCGACTATTATAACACCTACTCCATTCCCATTGGCCTAGAATGGATATTATCATACTAAGCCTCGACGTTCAAATAATTTTCCGTTAATTATAATAGTCATTAGAAAAGTCATTCTAACTAGGTCCATGTTTGTGTGTGTTGGTTTGTGGCTACATGTTGTAGCCATGATTTTATTAGTTCTAATGCAGCGATGGTCACGACTGATGGTAAAACAAAATAGATACCAATCGAGTTCGTTCATGAAGTCCTTTTGCTTCAAGCTTTTCATGGAGTCAAAAAATTAGGAAGAAAAAAAAGGTATATTATATGTTTTAAACATTATGATTGAGGTGCCTGGATTGAATCACAATTGAATGTGTTCATGTTATTATACAAATTTAGAATGAATCGAAACTTGTTCATTTCACTATGTACTGCTAACTTCATTGAATAGTTTATATTTGTCGAAACAAATTTGTGTCCAGCAATAATACAAGTAGATCTAGTCACTAACAGTTTCCCCACCGTATTGTATTACCTGTTTTTGGCATCCAACTCTTTCATAAGCTTTAATCAGCCTGTTTTTGTGGTATAAAAGCATTCCATAATCTTCTGTGTCCTCCTCTGGTGCAAAGCCGATAGAAATCCTTATTTGTTTACTCTAAAAAAGTATCGGCATTTACATTTTAATTTAAAAGAAGATGGATGCAGTCTGCACAAGAACTAAGTGTTACATGGGGTACCAAGGTTGTTAAGGAGTTAAACGTACATGTTCAGTTTAGGTTAGAGAAAACGATCTTTGGCTGCGTGACAAACCCGGTCGATTTAGAGCTGTTAGGTCGTTTGCTTTTAATCCCTTTTGATTTTGGACATTATTAAATGTTAACATCATAGATGTAATTTTAAAGCTATTTCATGCTCCACAAAGAAGCATCTTGTGAATATAAGACTACATTTAATTTTTGAAGGACATTTGCTTTTAATAAACGTGTGTTGGATTTCCCAATGCACAAATAAGAAATTTACATTTTAAACAATTATTAATATTAAACAACTTTAGGCACATATTTAGAAATATTAGTTGGCCTACTTTGTAAATATTAAAACCCTTACTTCAGTTTTCGGTTTGTAGAATTGCTCTTCTTTCTCTTTCAAGGTTTTGGATAAAAGCTTGAGCTTTACTAAACGACCACGAATAAAGACTTCCATGTTGGTGCTACTCGGACGATAATACAGGATACTGTAATACTCCTTCATGGGGATAAAAAGACAAACATAATATTAAATGTATTAATATTAATATTACTAGCCAACACTGCCCCTTTTTTTTTTTTTTTTTTAATATGCTTTTATTTTCAATAAAACAATTGACAAAATATTTAACCATCACAGGGGTTAAATTAATAATAATAGATTACATTTTAGATGATTCATATATGAGAAAAAAGGATGTATGACATAAAATTAAAAGGAGCTTGTCGTATTTGACAATCTCAAGGTTTGTAATAGTAATATTTGGTGAATTTTTTTATTTTTTATTATTTTTTTTATTTTTTTTTAAATACTTTTATTTGCAATTTTTTTTTCAAATACTTTTATTTGCAATTAAAACATGTACATCAACATCACATTTTTTTTTTACATAGTTTCAAAAGAAAACGAAAGGTTTTAAACATGTACATAATGAATATTTACATGATGTCATGTATATGATTATAACAAAAATTACAAAAGATGGCAGTAAAAGGGGTGAAGGTCAAATAAACGTGTCAAAAGTCTGGGTGGGGAGTGGAAAGGATATTTTTCCGAGAATGACAAAGGGCCAGTGGAGCATTTTCAATGTAGGGAAACAAATTAAGTTGACTAGTTAAAAGAGTGTTTATTTATGTACTGGTCGCATTGAGTTTTCAAAAGGTTGCTGTGTAAAAAAGGAGGGGAAAGAAACAAGATTTAGAACTTTAAAAAGTAAATGAATAGATATTCGAAATTGATGTTGGGGTGGGTGGTGGGGTCGTTGGAACAGTTAAAGGGAAAGTGGTGTTTTCATGTCTGAGGGTAAGTGGATAGAGGGGGAGAGGGGGGAGTGGGTAGATGTGTCTGACGAGGCGTGGAGAGGGTGACTGCGTGTTTTAAGGCAAGCCAAGCGTCAAATTTTGTGCTGTGTTATCTGACTGCTGAGGTGTTTCCTTTTGTAGTGTGTGTGGGTAGGGGGGGGGGAGGGTTTGACGAACAGATTGCTGTGTGAGCGAATTAGTAGGAGGGTGAAAGGTTGGTATGTTCAAGTCGGTGTTTATGTTTAGATGAATCCGACAGGTTAGGGGTGTGTAGGCGTGTAGCTATCACGTGTAGGGATACAGTGGAGTTTTATAGATAAAAAAAAGGGTGTTCACATAAAAGAGTAAAGTTAACGAAACAACTGTAAGTGTTAATTTGGTGATAATACAATGAATACAAAAGGAGTACGGGTCATTGGGGTCATTTGTACCTTGTGGAACAAAGTACCTTACATATATGATAATAGTAATATAGTAACAAATGATAGCTTTACAATGTTTGTAAGCTTTATAAATTAAACAATACACAAAAAGCCTTTAAAATCTAATATATAAAGATCAATTCTGTATGTAAAAATAAATTTGTTTGTCGTGGATACTTCAATGGATTTAAGTGTTAGATAATTAAAGCGCTTATGGCCTAAATGCATGGTTTAAAAATTTAATACTGAAAGTGTTGGGAAATACTTTTCATTTTTCAAACTGATAGTAATAATTGTCGGCATGTTCATTAAACACAATTTAAAAAATGTATCATTTTTTACAAAAATTCTAATGATGTCTGAAAATTATTTATATTTAGCTCTTTAGCACTTACTTCCCTTTGATTAATTAGGAAAACACAATCACTTCCCTTTGCATTAGTGGAAAAGAATTTACTTTTTGTTACTTTGTTTTGGTGTTGGGAAAAAAATAATTACATAATTAGCGGGGATTGATCAAGTGCAAATGTTGTAGGTATTTTACGGATAAGCTTGGAGTATTATAATTGTTCATTAAATTGAAACAGGCGCGTCCGCCGGCGCCCCACCAGGGTTCAATTTGGCGCCCTGGGGCTATCCTGTGAGCGCTATGGTGCATAATTTCGCTTTAAACAGTGCGATAGAGTATGGTTAAGAAAGGTTACTATAGTCTTTAAGTGAATCGAATCCGGGCGTCCTCTGGCTCCCAGACAGGGTGCTATTCGGGGGCCCCGGGCCTCCCGTGTTCGGTTTGGCGCCTATGTTCGTTTAAGTGAGTGCAAAAGGGTTTGCGTTAGTGGTTGCGTTTTGATTTGGTTCGTTTTTGTTCTTTCTTTTTTCGTTTTCGTTTGTGTTTTTTCTTTGGGTTTGTGTTTGTATTATTGTTTGTGGTTGGTTTTGCGTTTGGATTTGGTTTGTTTTCGTTTGCTTTTTCGTTTGTGTTTTTTTCTTTGGGTTTGTATTTGTGTTTGTGGTTGGTTTTGCGTTTGGATTTGGTTTGTTTTCGTTTGCTTTTTCGTTTTTTTCCTTTGTGTTCGTATTGGTGTTTGTGGTTGTGGTTGGGTTTGTCGTTAGGTTTTTGTTTTCGTTTGCTTTTTTGTTTGCTTTTTCTTTCTGTTTGTATTGGTGTTTGTGTTTGTAGTTGTGGTTGGGTTTTTGTTAGGTTTTTGTTTTCGTTTGTATTTGTAATTGTGTTAGCGTTATGTTTGCGCTTTGTTGTTTTGGTTTTGGTTGGTTGTGGTTTGGGTGGGCAATGCCGGGTTTATGATGATTACTAAACACACAGGTAATGGTCTTTAACAGAAAGGTTTTTCACAGAAGCCAGAGCAGGACCTGGCCGGGACGGCTAGTATCAACATAATAGTAATAACAGATAGATTCCACTGCAATTATCATACTTTTTTTGTTAATCTAAATAAAAGAATAAATGATCGTAGCTTGTATGGCAAATGATTAATTACGACGATTGAAATATCAATTATTTAAAATATCGTACGTGTTACCTGTTATGAAATATATGTTTATTTTATAAAGAATTAACTTAACACAATAGTCCCCTTTTACGTAATTTTTAATTATTTTATTGTAAATTAATGATTGTTTTCAGGTAATTTTTCGAAGTAGTGTGATTAGAAGTAGTATTTTATTTGAGGCTTTATTAGTGGTTAGTATTTGAACATTCCTTAATCATGTTTATATATTTGTATATATTTTCATTTACGTTGTTTTCGTTGTACTTTGACTTTGTGTTTTGTGAGTGTAATTAGTTTGTTTATATTGTTTTATAGAAATGGTTCCATACTCTGATTTTATACAATAACGTTCTGATTAATTAGTTATTTTTTTTTGTTTTTATCTAAATTAAGTTTATGAGATAACCAGCTAGAGTTTAGCTACGGTTGCATTGTCGCCCGATAGTTTATAGTCTTAGAGGTAGATTAGTTTACCCCTCCCCCCACCCGTTAGGGATAACCCGAAAATTTAAGCCATATGTTAAAACTGCATTTAAAAATTGGAAATGTGAATAAAAAATATAAGAATATTCTAACGAAAACTCAATTTTTGGTTTTATCAAATTCTAAAAACTCAACGCCAATCTACCAGTAACCAAAATCTAATTTCTGTTTGAAAAATTCAAACTAAAGCCCTATCGAACAGTAACATAAAACCTATCTTTGCATGCACTCATTTTATTCTAACCTACAACACACCAACGAGAAGTAGTTGTATTTTTATTCTACCAATTTAATTTAATTTGTTTTTTTTTAAAGTTATCTAGCCTAAATTAAATGAAAGTATTCTACTAAATGCGAGTCTTCCACAAACAAACATACAAATACAGATAATTTCATTTTCATTTTATAGATATATACATTTTACTTAAGTATGAAATTCGTGTTAAATAGCAAAAGTTTTATAGAAATACGGAATGAATTTCCCAAAAGAACCTTCGATACTTTATACTATGTAGATCTATATGGCCATTAAATCTACCCTCTCATCAGCCGGGATATATCTAAAAACTTAACGTGTAACCAGATAAAACACACGTACCTTCAACGAACGTCTGTGGCTACTGCTCACCACTACAGGACGCTCCTCATTGGTGTCTGGTTCTGTCACGTAAGCCACAGGGCACCGGATGTCAGATGGGTCAAAGTCAAAGTCTAGCTCGTATCTTCCGTTGATTCTTGTTAGAAAACATTTGGAAAAATTAAATGACGTTAGTAATATTTGTTCTGTAATTTTGGTGTCAGCTAAGCTCTACGCTCACGTTATTTACAAACACAAAATCTGTTTATAGATGGAAGTTAGCATGTTTATACGATGTCAGAATAACATTGAATATTCTCTGGACACATAATCTCTCACAAAATAATTCCTGTTAGAAGATCTCAACGCCAAAATGTCATAAAACAATCTGACAAAACACAGCAGAGAGTATAATCACAAGGACACAGTATCTCAAACAAAAACTCAACATGACAATGGGAAAACACAACATCACTAAACAGTATAATCTTATAAAATAGGACGTCGAGAAGCAAGCTTAAAATGCTCAACGCAGCACAAAATTAAAAGCAAAGCCGGCACAAAAATTAAAAATATTTAGCACCGCACAACTAAATATGAATGACCCAACCCAACACAACCCAGTCCTATTCATTACACCACTTTGCGATATTATTATCGCTCATAGAAAATATATGCCTAATATGCACAGAAATAAAATAATCACGATACAATACTATACAATATTATATTGTTAACGCTGAAGATACGAAACATTACTCATCAGAAAAACAAACAAACGTCACAACATAACGCAACCAAACAAAACAAAACACAACTGAAAAACACAACACAACATTGACTGACAATACAAAACATACAGATGTGATTATTAACAGCAGGGCAATGTCCTGCTCTCGTGGCAGGCATGACTAGGCCGGGGCAGTTTTCTTGTGCTAGTATTAACTGCAAACTCAGTTTGAAACATGGTCTTTCAATGAGAAACCCAAGATGAATCATAGGCAGCGCATATGCAAGAGTTCATTCTGTGTTCCTCATGTGTGTGTGTGTAGTCCGCAATCTCTGCCATAGAGCAAGGTACACACAAACAGGGATTGTATTCCACGAATGCTCATGGAAAGTCTGACTTTTACAACACACACTTAATGATAGGCAGATTAGGACGCGTCTTCGTCTTGTTTTTATATAAAGCAAGGTTGAATAGATGACCATCCGACGTACATTGGAAGTGCATTCCGTCATCCAGGAACTTAAAAGATTTGATTAAGATAATAGAGAGGTATCCTTTCCGAGGCGCACACGTCGGCATCAGATGAAAAGATCGTGGGTCGCCTATGCTTCATGGTCCAATGCTCGACCTTGCCGGTATTTCCCAACTCCAATGGAATGATAGAATTACGTTTGGAACGAACTCGGCTGCCGAAAGAACCGTAGCTGGTAATCAAAGCGCCTCCATGGCTAAACGCCTGATTCATCCTGAAAGTTTACTCCTGAAGCACTTGTTTTGTGCTTGTGCTTAAATAACAATCTTTTTAGGTACGATAATAAAGATAATAACTTAATAAACCGCATCAGGTAAGAATTTAGTGAGAAGTGTTTACTTTAAAGATGTTTTGGCTGCCGTATCAGAAGATGAGGATGTTCATCTTCTAATACGGCAACCAATATTTTAGCACAAAAATATCCAACCAAATTTTTTAATATGGAAGTAATTAACTTACATCTGGGATGATACTTTCAATAGTTGTAATGGGATGAATAAATCATCGTAAAAACGACTGAGTTTTTCGTTACATTTGACCTTTAGTTTCAGAAACCGATGTCTTACTTTTTAAGATTAAATATAACTATTTTCGTCCCAGCTCTTAAGCTTGTTAGTTCAGCAACTAGATCTTCTTCAGACTTGTACAAAGAATATTCTAGAATGGCCTCCAAGTTGGACTCCCGGCCAGCTCGCTGTATTGGTGTCAGTGACGTTGTGTTAAGAAAAAGTAAAAAAAAAAAACGAACCCAGAAATTACTTATTTCATGGAGTATCAGATCTGAAAGAAATATTTCTTCGTAATTTTTTTTCGCGCGAGTTGTTATGGAAGTAAATGTATGGGTATGTAATTGAAGTTACCTTATCGGACCTTGTACTTATGATCCATGGGGCAGATGAAGTAGAGTTCATCTACTTCTGTGACCAGGGTATATAAAGGTATAGTTTGGTCAGCACTGTCCTCCGTTGCCTTTACTTTCCCCTACATAACTCAGGTAAACATCAGAGCTAGCAGAACTGATGGTGGTCCGACTCGAGCAGGGGATCTGTACGCTCTAGCATCCGACCACGCCGTCCCATGGGTATGTGGGTATATAAATTGTATGTATAGTTTTAAGTTCACAACCATATTGTTTTCGGCGAAAAGAGAATTCTAGTAACAAAAATGAAATAAAAAGAAACAAATTAAAATAAATATTTGGAAATAATTTACGAGGACAAACATAAGTCTTTATTTTCCTTGTTCTCACCAAGGTCCAGTTAAACGGTAAAGATAGGATTATAATAAAAAGGTATTCACAGAAAAAAATGATTGATAGAGGACCCAAAATATATAAAGGATATGTGTTGGCACTTTGTATTCCAGTAAAGGTACCAGAACAGATTCGGCATTTATGCCCTGTAGGTAGGTCTGTGACAGGAACCCCACACTGGCACTGGTCTCACACCTGGTAAACACGATGACGTCCTTGCCTAAACGCATAGATCCTGACTTGAAGCCATTACCATACTGACCAATAGGTTTGTGTGAGTAAGTTCTGCCACTGTCTGTCTTGTCACAGTAGCCAAAGCTAAAATATCAGGAAAAGTTGAAGGGTTGTTTAAGACATTTATTAAATGACTGTACTTTTATTATAAGACAAACTGGGTCGTATTTTTTTTTTTTTTTAAAAATGTACTTTTTAAAAATTTAACATTAAAAAGATAAAAAAAAACGAATTTATTTGAACGCTTAAAAACTATGATGCTCATCTCGATCCTACTTTCCTTAGAGACTAGAAAAAGTTAGTGTGTATGGTGAAGAAGTCATATAAGTATTTTACGGAATTCAGCTTCCTACCTAAGCAACTGATGAAGTTTTATAAAATCCATGCCGTTTCCGTCATCTTGAAAAGTCAAACACAGTTGTCCATCTCGCTCCATTTTGTCTATATATAAGTTCTTTGCTCCAACATCCGGGTCATAGGCATTATCTGTAAGTATAACATAAAGTCGATTGTTCTAAAGCCACTATACTGGCTAACAAACCGATTACTGATGTGAAACTAAGGAAATAAATGTATGAGTTGGGTGCTGCTTTTTACTTTCTCGTATATACGAAGTATAGAGAAAGTCTTGTAATCGTGCAAAAAAAAAATCGAGATTTTTACAAATCTCGACGTTTCACACCTCACTGATACGGAAAAACATAATTTTGCAATCTTGTCCGTATGTCTGTGTGTCTGTCTGTGTGTCTGTCTGTCTGTCTGTCCGTGTGTAAACACGATAACTTGAGTACCGTTACAGCTAGGTTGATGACATTTCATATATAAGTATTTAATCAAAATCGTAGATCCGTATCAACTTTTGAGCGATTTCCGATAACCGGAAGTGGTACTTTTCCTACTTTGAATTTTTCAAAAGCCTATAACTTGAGTACTATTTCAGATAGATAAATGAAATTTCATACGTAAGTAAAAGATCTAATTCTCTACCTTCTATTAAATTTTGAGTCATTTCCGTTGACTGGAAGTAGTACTTTACGCTACTTCCGATTTCTCCAAAAACTAATGTAAATTTTAAAAGTAATAATAATATTGCGCACTATTATGCGCTTTATTATTTGGCGTTCACTTGGTGTGCAATTAATTTGTCTACGAGATTTTATTCTATTTTTAAAATTTTAAGTATTTAAAATGGATTAAAAATCATGTCTATAGCCCAAGTTCCCATCCCCTGTTATTTTATATAAGAATATTCGAGAAAGTTTAGGGGTGATCACTCCCGGTTTATTAGGTTTTGAAACTAAACGTAGCTGAGCTACTTTTACTTAGTTTATTTTAATTTCTTAGTCTTGCCATCATTTAGCGTTTCTTGGTGAAACATCATTTTCGGCTACCTCACCCAACTTGAAATAAATCTGTTTCATGTAGTAAAATTTGACCTTTAAACCGGCCGTTTTTATAATTATTCCTAACAAATGTCTACGAAAGCCCCCCCCCCCCCCCCCCCTTAAACTTGTAGAATTTTACATTCTGTTTACAGTATTATTAATCACTTCACATTTTTAAGGATAGGAAACTTTTCAATTTTTATGTACCTACTTAATATATTACTTCTGAACATTTTTTGATAAATATATTTACATAAATTTAACTCCAACCTCTATTATGATCCGTTTGTAAAATCAAACTGGAGTGATCTCCCCTAAACTTTCTCGAATATTCTTATGTAACACTACGGGGGATGGCAACTCGAGATATATACATGCCTTTTAATCAATTTTTAAAAATACATTAACTTTTTAAAATAGAATAGAATCTCGTAGAAAAATAATTGCGCAACAGGTTAAACAGCAAACAATTCAGGTGTAATAATGCGGAACATTAGTACTTTATAAATTCATATGCGTTTTTTTAAGAATTAGGAAATGGTGTAAAGTACTGCCTCCGGTAACCGGAAATTACTCAAAATTTGACAGAAAACAGAGAATTAGATTTTTTTAAAACTTAAATTTGAAATTTCGTCTATTTATCAGAAACAGTACTCAAGTTATAGGTTTTTGAAAAACTGAAAGTAGAATAAGTTTCACTTCCGGTTACCGGAAATAGCTGAAACATTGATACAGTACTGCAAATTTGATATAATACTTATGTAAGAAATTTCATTAACATAACATAACAAGTGACCGTGTTCACAGACAGACATAATCACATACACATACACACACAGAGACATACGGACAAAATAGCGAAACTAAGTTTTTCCGACTCATGGAGATTTGTGAAAATCCCCATTGGGAGATTTGTGAAAATCTCCATTGCATTTTTTGCACGAATAAAATACTTCTTCTTTACTTTGCATACGAGAATAAAAATAATGAAGTTTGCACATACTTTATGATTAATAGTTTCCTGTTTATCAGAAAAAGCCTAACGTACTACTTCCGGTCACCGATAATCACTTAAAAATTGACAGCAACCAGTTAGTAAAATTATATAAATACATTTAAGGAATTTCGTCCAGCTAACTGAAACGGTACTCAATCTATCGGTATTTTAGAAAACATAATTATATTAAACGAGAAAAATGGCCCGTTGAGGAAGGATACAACGGGCGCTAGGTTGATAGTGCTGTCTATTTTCTCGGTACTTTAATTTATACAAAATATAGTCATAGGCATATCCCTAAACCATGTACCTAATCTCATTCATGACAATAGTCGCATTTAGAGTTTCTTTCAGGCAACTCTACTTGGGAGGATGAGGCTTCGCCCCCCTTCCCCTCCTACACACACACTCCAAAACATGTCTACCTTCCCATTTAACGAAATATAATTATTTACTTTTTCCAGTGTCCGCCCCCTCCCAGAAAATTCTACCCCCGCCCCCGAAAATTTCATGTACCCCCACCCCTCTGCGGGGAGGAAAAAGTCTGAAAGAAACACTGGTCGCATTTGTAGATCATACAAACTAAAGGAAGAATCTGGGCGGGGCTTCGCCCCTACCGGAAGAGATGCTTGAAAAAAAACTGCACGCTAAATACTTTTTAGATTAGAAAAAGTTCCCCCCTCCGGGGAGGAAAAAGTCTGAAAGAAACACTGGTGTCGCGCTTAGCCACTACCCGAAGAATTGCATTAAAGAAATTGCAAGAAAACCACATTTTAGATTAGACACATTAATTAGGCGGTAATTTTATTATAGAGTATCGATGAAGAAATTTCTTTTGAGTTGGGGAGGGGGGGGGGGGGCTCAGACGTTCTTACGCGGGGGTGGGGCTTCGCCCCTACCCGAAGAATTGTATGAAAGAAACTCTTCACGCAAACCACTTAGATTAGACAAAATTGCCTTTTTATTCAATGTTTACTCGAGAATCAATGACGTCATATTACTGTGTGCACTGTCCGGCTTGATATTATTTTCTTCTATATGCTCAATATGACGTCATTTTTCGTTTTCGTTTAACTATGCATGTTTTTAAATTGCTTGTGTTTTCTCTATAGCTCTTGTCAGATACATAGATAGATAGACAGATAGATAGATAGATAGATAGACAGACAGCGAAACTATTATTATAGACAAGAAAAATGGCCCATTGAGGAAGGATACAACGGGCGCTAGGTTGATAGTGCTGTCTATTTTTTCTAAACTAAAACCACCACCCCCCGCCCCCACACCCACACCCCAAAACATGTCTACCGTCCCATTGAACAAAATATAATTATATACTTTTTCCAGTGTCCGCCCCCTCCCAGAAAATTCTACCCCCGCCTCCGAAAATTTCAAGTACCCCCACCCCTCTCCGGGTAGGAAAAAGTCTGAAAGAAACACTGGTCGCATTTGTAGATCATACAAACTGAAGGAAGAACCCGGGAGGGGCTTCAACCCTATCAGAAGAGATGCCAAAAAAAAAAAAACTGTGCACGCTAAACACTTTTTTTTAGATTAGAAAAAGTTCCCCCCTCCGGGAAGGAAAAAGTCTGAAAGAAACACTGGTGTCGAGCTTAGCCAATACCCGAAGAATTGTATGAAAGAAACCACTTTTTAGATTAGACACATTAATTAAACGGTAATTTTATTATAGAGTATCGATGAAGAAATTTCTTTTGAGTTGGGGAGGGGGGGGGGGGGGGGGCTCAGACGTTCTTACGCGGGGGTGGGGCTTCGCCCCTACCCGAAGAATTGTATGAATGAAACTCTTCACGCAAACCACTTAGATTAGACAAAATTGCCTTTTTATTCAATGTTTACTCGAGAATCAATGACGTCATATTACTGTGTGCACTCTCCGGCTTGATATTATTTTCTACTCTATGACGTCATATTTCGCTTCCGCTTTACTGTGAGTTTTTAATTTGCTTGTGTTTTCTCTAGAGCGTTCTTGTCAGACAGATAGATAGATAGATACACAGACAGCGAAACTATTATTATAGATTACCACTCCCGGATGTTGGAGGTCACTCAAAAATTGACAGCAACCATTTAGTAAAATTATATAAATACATTTAAGGAATTTCGTCCAGCTAACTGAAACGGTACTCAAGCTATCGGTATTTTAGAAAACATAATTATAATAAATTACCACTCCCGGATGTTGGAGGCCACTTAACAATTAAAAGTGATCCAAGTATAAAATCTTACAAATACATATTAAATTTCTTCCAGCACACTGAAAGATACTCAAGTTATCTAGTTCCCACAGAAGTAGGGTCAACATTTGATGCGAATCTGCTCTTACAAATTTATACTTAGATATAAAATTTTGTCTAACTTAAAGGGTACTCAAGTTATCTGCTTTTGAGAAATCGGAAGTAGAATACGTACCACTTCCGGTTACCGGTAATCGTTAAAAAAAGTGATGGAAAAGTACACATTTAAATATCATACTTATGTATGAAATTTCATCTACATATTTGAAACGGTACTAGAGTTATTGTATTTACATTCACACGCACGCACACACGTACAACCGCCTGCACACACACACATACACACACACACACACACACACACACAGGTGGACGTTTTTCCGGAAGGTTGTAAAACATCAAAATCTGGATTTTAATTGTTTTTGCACAATTACAATCCACACTTTATATACGTATACGATAAAATAGGCAGGCGTAAAACAGCAAAAGCTGTCAAAATTTTATTTAATTTGTATACTCTTACAATGCTTCCTATGTACTCAGTATACGAGAAAGTAAAAACTCACCAATCAACTCCGCCATCGCGCCGAGTGCCCAGGGATGACTGGTTGAATTACTGTGTAAGTAATTTGGATGGACCTGTGCATACAAATTAACTCGTTAAAAGAATATTAAATAAAGGAATTGCAAATTGAACATGGTGTTGAAGATGTGCTCTATTTTAGAACAAACCTTATTTTATTGTATTTGTTATTTTTGTGAATTACTCAGGACGTAAACTGAAAGGTTACTGGAAGTATGGGTGAGCGAAACATTATTACCTTTTTTTTCAATGAGGGTTCTTTGATGTGGAGAAAGTAAAGGGGGAAGGGGGGGATAAAGAAAAGCAATACCAGCGTGATTTGAGCGCGATACTTAAGGCGATGGATGTATGAACGATACCTGGATACAAATGCCACGGATGTATGAACAATACCTGGATACAAATGCCACAGATATATGAACGATACCTCGATACAAATGCCACAGATGTATGAACAATACCTGTATACAAATGCCACAGATGTATGATTGTTCTATAATTCTTATATACCCAAATGTTAAACTTATTGAATGTACTTATGCTGTGCAATCGTCGCCCACTTGCGGTTTTCTATGATGGAATTGCGCTGAAGAAATGAATGAATTAACGTAACGTAGAAGGGCCGTGCAGAGATTTGAAAGATCAAAAGGATACAGTGTCTCGCTCTCTTCACTCTAACCATGTTTACAGATCACAAGTGAAAACATTCTTACCATACTCAATTTGATCCCATTTACTGTAAGCTCATTGCTCGCCATTTTTGTTCAAATTTTACGCACTGTAAAATATTACATTGAACACGTGTAGCCAAGTAAGTAAATAAAGCAATTACTTAACATAAACACCGTCAAACAGATTTTACTACTTTTTACATTCAAATAGCAAACCTAAATTTATTCGAAAGGCCTTTATCGATTCAATATTCTACGAAATTGGAATTTCCGATGAAACGAAAATGAAAGTTAACACATGCAATTTAGTTTTATTTTAACACAGTATTTACATTTCAGTAACATTAATATTTATGAAGTTAATCGATATTATAAAGAAGTGTAATTCTCAGCAACAGCTTGAAGTATTTAACTTATTTTTTTCACGCGCGTGAATTACTGCTAAATTCGGAAATTTCGCAGAAACCGAAACTGATAGCTGCATATATATGTAACCGACTATGTGATAAGGCGCACAGCATGTAACAGTTGGCAGAGGCAGGACTGTCATGGGGGACTGCCAAGAAAAAAAGCTTTCTGTGGCGCCCCAATTGTTTTGGACACAAAATGGAAAAGGTGATGATGTGATGAGGGAAGAAAATAATATGATACTGGGTGAACGTATTTGTTTTCAGACAGTTGTGAATTGAGAATTGTTTTAATTCCCGTAAAAATTACAGAACTAAACAAACACTGTTTGCTTTCCAAGCTCTCTATAATCATACAAAAAATCCTTCTTTCTTTTTTATTTTCTCGTATATACGAAGTATAGAGAAAGTCTTTTAATCGTGCAAAAAAAATCGAGATTTTTGCAAATCTCGACGTTTTACAGCTCCCTGAGTTAGAAAAACATAGTTTTGCAATCCTGTCCCTGTGTCTGTGTGTGCGTATATGTGTGGATGTGTGTGTGTGTGTGTGTGTGTAAACACGATAACTTGAGTATCGTTATAGCTAGGTTGATAAAATTTCATATATAAGTATTATATCAAAATCGTAGATTCGTATCAACTTTTGAGCGATTTCCGATATCCGGAAGTTGAACTATTTCTGCTTTGAATTTTTTAAAAGCCTATAACTTGAGTACTATTTCAGATAGATAAATGAATTTCACATGTAAGTAAAATATCTAATTCTCTGCATTTTGTCAAAGTTTGAGTAATTTCTGTTGACCGGAAGTAGTAATTTTCGCTATTTCCGATTTCTCAAAAAACGCATGTGAATTTATTAAGTACTAATAATATTCCGCACTATTATGCACATTTTTTTTCACTTGGTGTGCAATTCTTTTTTTCTTCGAGATTTTCTTCTATTTTTAAAAGTTTAAGTATTTAAAATGGATTAAAAATCATGTCTATATTCCGAGTTGCCATCCCCCAGTAGCGTACGCAGGGGGGGAGCAGGGGGAGCGGCCGCTCCCCCTCTGGGCATTTTCAGCTAAGTGGCGCCTTTTTTGGAAACTTTTTAAACTCAAAGTTTTAAACAATGATATTTGTAAAAAAATATTTTTGGTCGGCACATCTATGTAAATCACAAGATTTCTTTTCATGCAGCAATTAAGCATTATTGTACTAGTCTAGTAGTGTCTACGTTTACAACACGTATTAACAGCTGCATCAGTTTGACATTCTAAAAATAACCATTACGATGCATTGCAATGTTTAAAAAACCTCTACGGTAGTACCACTTGGCAAGAGGGGTGTTAAGTTTAAGGCAACTGTATAATGTATTTGCTTACGAATAATTGAATTAGAAAATGTTATACATAAAGCTTCACACATAATTACTTTATATATACAGATTGAATCGTGTGATTAATTTAAAAAAAATTACAATACAGAAACAAATACAACTGATGTGGTACCTCTATTTAAATTTACTTATGAGCAAACTGCGTAGTGGTGGGAAAAGTTTTGACAAGGGCAACAACGTCATCACGATCAAGTAGTAGTATTCTTACAGTTTGGGCGATAGTGATTACGATTAAAAATGATATGAATCAGTTACAAACCCCTCACACATGGACCCCTCTGTAAAAAAAATATTGTCATAATACTACTGCTACTTATTTAAATCTATTTCTGTAATATATATTTGTGTAATATATATGTATGTTTAGAACCGTCATCTAAAAACTGACGCTATGTTCACTCTGAGTTGGTTATCTCCCCCCCCCCCCACACCTCACCACCACAATTGTGTAGAGCGACATTAATGTCACACCTAGGTATACACTGGGTTGGATAATTGACCTAAAGTTAACGGACTGTGGTGAATGAAGTTGAACCCACCCCACCCCCCCCCCCAACCCACCCCGAACTGATCTGTTAAGTACATGTAGAAAAAGGCGTAATGATGCACTAAAGTACCATGCCGCCAGAAAATTAGCTTTTTAAACGTAAAACTCTGTGAATATTGTTTTTGCAATTACCAGTAAAAAGGTGTGTGATCAATACAGTGATCTAACCCATACCTATCACTATTTTAAAAAAAATGATCTTTTCAGAACACAAAGAAGCAGTATATAATTAAAATATATGATCTGAACTAAAAGACCAATAGTTAGTTAAATGTAAGCTGTCATTCCGAATGTTCTTCTATTGTATCGAAAAGCGTATTTTTATACCAACTCTGATTCAAAAAACTTTCATTATGCTGTAAAACTTTAGCATTTATGATGACGATATATTGAATTCTGATTATAGACAAAAAAAATTGTAAACTCGAATAGTGTTAAATAATCTAATATATAAAGCTCAATTCTGTAACGCATATGTTTGTTTGTCGCTGGTTATCGATGGATTTAAGTGTTAGAAAATTATCGTGCGCATTTGTCTAAATTTATGAGTTAAAAAATTACTATTAAAAGTGTTGGGAAATCATTTTCATTTTTCAAATTATAGTAATAATTGTCGGCATGTTCATTAAACACAAGTTTTAAAAAAATATCATCTTTTACAAAAATTCTAATTATGTCTTTATTTAGTCCTATAGCGCTTACTTCCCTTTGATAAATTAGGCAAAACACAATTACTTCCCTTTATAAAACCATTGCATTAGTTGAAAAGCATTTACTTTTTAATTACTTTGTTTTGGTGTTGGGAAAAAAATAATTACATAATTAGCGGGGATTGATCAAGTGCAAATGTTGTAGGTATTTTACGGATAAGCTTGGAGTATTATAATTGTTCATTAAATTGAAACAGGCGCGTTCGTTTAAGTGAGTGCAAAAACTATGAATAAGTTGGGGTACTGTAGTCGTTTATTAAGCTAAAACAGGCGATTCTGCCGCGGGTTTATGTTCGCGTTAGTGTTTTCTTTGTGTTTAGGTGGGTTTGCGTTAGTGGTTGCGTTTTGATTTGGTTCGTTTTTGTTCTTTCTTTTTTCGTTTTTGTTTGTGTTTTTTTTTGTTTGGGTTTGTATTTGTGTTTTTGGTTGGTTTTGCGTTTGGATTTGGTTTGTTTTCGTTCTTTCTTTTTTCGTTTTTGTTTGTGTTTTTTTGTTTGGGTTTGTATTTGTGTTTTTGGTTGGTTTTGCGTTTGGATTTGGTTTGTTTTCGTTTGCTTTTTCGTTTTTTGTTTTTTTTTGTTGGTATTGGTGTTTGTGGTTGGGTTTGTTGTTAGGTTTTTGTTTTCGTTTGCTTTTTTGTTTGTTTTTTCTTTGTGTTTGTATTGGTGTTTGTGGTTGTGGTTGGGTTTGTTGTTAGGTTTTTGTTTTCGTTTGTATTTGTAATTGTGTTAGCGTTATGTTTGCGTTTTGTTGTTTTGGTTGGTTGTGGTTTGGGTGGGCAATGCCGGGTTTATGATGATTACTAAACACACAGGTAATGGTCTTTAACAGAAAGGTTTTTCACAGAAGCCAGAGCAGGGCCTGGCCGGGACGGCTAGTTTCATTATAATCTAAAGTAATTATTTATTTGTTTTGTCATTTATAATTAAACGTGTAGATATATACATATTTATATTAAGAGAATGATTATTTCCCTTATCACTTGTTTTAAGTAATTTCCCAGGAATTATTATGTAAGAATTTTTTTTACAAGAATTACAAAACAGATTGTGTTACGTTCATTGTTTTTGGTTGTAGTGTGTGTGTATATATATATATATATATATATATATATATATATATATATATATATATATATATATATATATATATATATATATATATATATATTGTTTTGTTTAGAGTGATACAATTTTTGTTTTGTCAGCCTACATGGTGTGTTTTTTTCTTATTTCTTCAGAGTGCTACTTTCAATTTATTTTACATCATAGCGAAGTAATGACATACAGCTAGTATATATATATATATATATATATATATATATATATATATATATATATATATATATATATATATATATATATATATATATATATATATATATATATATATAATACACGTAAACAGAACGTGTTAAAAATTCGGCGCCTTTTTTAGCTCTTTTCGCTCCCCCTACAACGAAAACCTGGATACGCCTCTGCCATCCCCTGTTGTTTCATATAATAATATTCGAGAAAGTTTAGGGGAGATCACTTCCGGTTTATCTAAGTAAGACATACAAATATAGAGGTTCAGCAAAAATAAAGACATTTCTGGCAGTCATAAGGATAGTTGGAGTTCCGTCGTATCTTTGACATTTATAGAGGAGTGCGGTCCATACATAAAAGTAAAGTAGTAAAGTTTGCCTTTCAAACCTGACGGTCTATGGGGCACTATGCACTATGCCCAGTCGCCTTTACGTTCCCTAACATAATTTAGGTACCCATCAGAGTTGGGTGGACTCAGGGACGGTCTACTGACTTGAACCCGGATTAGAACTCGAGACTTACGGGTTAGCAGTCCAGCTCTCTACCGCTAGATCACTCCGTCCCTTATATACCATTTATATCTTAAAATTTTCTTTCTTTAGATACAAGAGTTGTACGAAAAACAAAATAGAACACATAGCGTTAAACACTTTACACATAATAAAAAAAAACAAAGAATAAAATGTCTGTTTTATTTTATTATTGTTTTAATTCATTTTAAAAATTTCAGCATTGAAGTGAATCATATATGGTGGCATTCGAGGACGTTCGAGATTTCCTTCGGTGACGTTTGAGAGTGTAAAATTCTCCACCGAACCCTCACACTGACGTAATCTACCTGAGGCCGC